CACCACGATGCCCAGGACGCTCCTGCCAATGAAGTCCATCGCCGTGACGCCGCACGGCACATGCTTCTTGCGGCCGTATGACGCCGACGTGGACTGCACAATCTCGTTCGCGCGCGCGCTGGGCAACGCCACACATTCCGGAGCGGGAATGCCAGGGCCCAGCCATGAATGACATGCCGCCGAATGATGTCGAACATGGCCGCCGTGGCCACATCCCTCATGGCAGACCTCGCCTGCTGCCCATCCTCCGCGTGCACCTCAGTGATGTACTCAACGGTCTCTGCCTCTTCTGGGCACGCCGCTGATACTACATTACACAGCACGGCGAGCGACATCGTGCAATTGTCCATTACCGACGCCAACCGCGCCAGCCGCTCCAGATCTGCGTTCGCCACCGCCTGCAGCATTTCAAAGGGCTCGCTCACAACTTGCAATGCGAGCGTCTCCAACATTCCAGTGTGCAGACGGTGAATTGCGCGCTGGAAACCGCGAACGTTACTTACTGCCATTCTTTGAAGTGCTGGTATGCGTCCACGCAAAGTTATGACAGTACTCCGCTGGCTTTCTTTTTTTAAAGGCACATTTATACTTTTGTGTCATGCCCCTCCTCGGCTTTATACACCCCGCACTACGTCCTGTGCCTTTTCGGGCCTCGCGTTCTTCCACGTCGTCCCTTCGGCAGCTTTGCCCGACGTACCATCTGGCCTTCAGGTTGCAATGTTCATCAACTCCTGCACCGCACCTCCCGATTGCAACTCCTCGGCGCTACGCTCGCTGTTGCCGCGGTTGCTGGCAGTGGCCGGCAGTTGCCGGCGGATGCCTTTGCCAGCCGGAGCACAGCCATATTGCGCTTTGCGTTCTTTCGCATGCACCGAAGCTACATGCCGACGTGGCATCGTTCTCGTCCGCGTGTGCTTCATTGCGAATTGTCTGGTTCTGCTCTGGATCGCTAACATTGCGCAGAGCGTTCATGTGCCCAGACCGCGCTGGCCAGCCGGGGCTCTTACTTCGCTAAAGAGGCCCGTAAAGAGGCCCGTTTCCCAACAATTCCTCACGTCCTTACAGTTGCACAACGCCGTCAGCACCATGTCCCCAGTCCCGTCTCCTCACCACCTAACGCACTTTACTTCAGTTCATGCATTACACACCAATCCTGTCCGAACTCGCGTTCCCAACGAGATGCACGCCGACGAGATGCACGTCGCTCCTGCCTTGCAACTGCTTTTTGCTCGGCTCGGCGCAACGCAACGCGCCGCTTTCACATTTCGGCATGACCACCTGCCATGTCCATGGCGCTTTATTCATTTCCGCATACAACTTGTCCCAGCGCCCCACCCGTTGGCGCAACTGCCGTCGCCCATCCTCGCCATGCGAAGACGTACAGACCGCGCTTCGACGCCCTTCAGATTCAGCCCGCCCCCTTGACGCATCCCGTTTGTACGATGCCGCAACTTGTATAAATGCCAGCCTGTGTCGCCTTCTTTTTCACACATTCTCCTGCTTCCTTTTTTTGGCTTTTGAGCCAAATACCGAAAGTTGCGGACGGTAACCAGCCAGCCTGTCGCTTCGCGGACACCTGTTCTACTGTTGCAAACTCGCACAACATGCCTCCGAAAATGGCACGCCAGTCACAAGTCCCACCTCAGACCCTTTCGCCCGTCAACTTGGGCGCTTACGGCACGCCTTCATCATCTGCCGTCGACCTCTTCCGCCGGCACCGCAGCCAAGCCGCCCGTCATCATAGCTGACCTGTGGGCGCAGCTGGCAGCGATCGCTCCTCGCTGGCCAGGGTGCCCAAACGGCCGCTCACCTTCAAGTAAGCGCCTCATCTTCCGGTACTAGTACACGCCTTGCCGCGCTGCACCTTACCGATCAGGCGCACCCATGCGCCTATCTGGCTGTCCCATGCAACTACCATCTTGACACGCCCTGCTGCTGCCCCTCGAACCGTCAGGCAGCAACTGCTCTTGGGAAGCATGGGATGTCACGACGAGGACGTCCTACACGGCCCCCACACCAACGCCGAGTTCAACGTGCTCCTGTCCGAGGGCCGAAAGTACATGGACGAGTTCCAGGCGCAGCACGGCGCCAAGCCCGCCAGCAGTAAGACGTCCTACCTTGCTGCCCATTGCTCGCTTGCACCAGCTGCCGTCCCTCGTGCCCGCTTTCCAACTGGCCAGCCACAGGGTCTGTACCTGTCACGCCCCGCCCCTGCATGCCTTCACTTCCGCCCCGCCATCCCGCCAACCTCACATCCACCCTCCCGCCCTCCATGCCCGTGCAGCGTTCTTGTACAACGTGACGGCGGAGATACACGACAGGGACATGCCGGACCGAATGATGGCCATGCACGCGGCGGTCATGCAGCTGTGGATTGCAGCTGCCGGCAGCCTGCGTGCAGATACAGCCATTGAGCTATTTTACGATTACGGCATGGAAGCCGGCACCGTCCTCAAGGCGGACCAAGACTTTGCACGCTCGGTGCTGACCGCTGCACAGCAGGCGCGAGCGTCGGGCGCCCTCCTGGCCACCACCACGCCAGCCAAGCGAGCCGCAACCAGCCCTGCCGAGCCACATACCAGTGCCCCCGCCCGCACGTGACTATATACCATCACGTGCGCACCGACCGGCAGGGTATACGTCGGCCAGTCCCGGGACCCTCAACGGTGATTCCAAGCTCATGCCCGTAACCCACCCAGCTGGATGAAGGACGACGCCCGCCGCTACCAACCCTTCCGAGATCACTTCACCCTCACGCGCCTCATGTCCACAGCCAATCCTGCTCTGGCCCAAAAGATGGAGGCCCTCTACATCGCGCAGTTCAAGGCCCGGGGGCCGGGCGGCTACAATGTGCTGCACGGGCCGCCTTCCGCCAGCCCGGCCTTCTCCGCCATGAGCCGGCAACACGCCAGCAGCGCCCACACGCCCACTGCCGTCACAGTCCAAGACGATGACGCCTCTGCCACGCTTGCCTAGCCCACACAGCAACTGGACACTTAACGCTTGACGGATAGAGTCCCACAAGTTCGGCGCTAGGCTTCTGGACATTGAGCGGTGCTGTTGAATTTGGGCACGGTGGCACTTAGAGTTTCATTCACGGTGCATACATGTCCGAACTTAACTCGTGTGTGAACGGAAGCTGCTGCCCATACGGACAGCAGCGCTTGAGATGGTCTATTGCGTCAGCGTTCGGAGTTAAAGGAGAGCCCGCTGCGCTCCTTTCTATGTTCGGAGTTAAAGGAGAGCCCGCTGCGCTCCTTTCTATGTCCGCTCGTCGCGTGCTCGGGGGCAAGTTGATAGGGGGCAAGTTGGTAGCGTGCGAGTTCATCATCATGTTGCCTGTTCTGGCATGGCCATTCACGCGCGACAGAAACTTGAACCTGGGCCTTCTTCTTCGTTCCTACATCATACCGAGAACCGACGCGACGTGACCTGTGCACGCGCTGTCCTGTGGGGCTGTTCTTGTTCTCCTGGTTGTGGTTCCTGTTGTTCTTGCATACGCGCGCGCGACAACATGAGTGCATGTACATTGCGCCGTGCGCTAAACGCCCTGTAAACTGCTTCGACGCTAATCTCACATTCCAATATGCCACTGCACTTTCCTCTCCAGCCTGGCCACATTCTCTTCCTCGCAAACGTACTTGGGCACCTTACAATACAACACCATACGTGCTTTGGAAACGCGGGCAGCTGCTTCACAAGGACCCCCCTCTTTCCCGTATTGACTCATGTTAAGAGAACAAAACAGGAAATGTGTGGGTGGATTGCGTGCTGCATCCCTCCAATCAGGGCCGAAGTCGGCAATAGGCTCGCCACCAGCTATGTCGGTACGGCGACTAAGGCTCAAGGTGGCCGACTTACTATTATTTTTATTACCTTATGGCCAGTAACTGGCTCATCTGGAAAGTCCAACCTCAAGCAGTGTGAAGAATTTTGTATCAGGGACATGCACTTACTATTGCGAGAGTACGCATAATAGTAAATGTGTGCATAGGTTGATGTGACGAAAAGGACACATTTCTTGCCAGGGAACGAGCCGAAACTTGACCAGGTCTGCGGAAACTTTTCGTAATCGGGAGGCCCTTTGCGGAAAGGCTGCGGAAACTGCGGAAAGCTGCGAAAACTATAAAATGAATATGTAACGATGTTTTTTACCTCTTCTCAGTGTGGCGATAACATGGACAGTCTGAAACCAGCTTGTGGCAGTGCGGTTCTGTCCGCACGCCTCACGGACAAGTCAATGCTGACTGTGCATTAATCCAGTAATCGTCCAAACAATATGAATTCAAAATAAAAAAATCAAAAGGAATAAAAAAGGCGAGAGGGCTAAAGTATCTAAAAATGGCACCGCACAACGATAACTGCAACGACGTGGCTCTGTTCAACTTCAACCACGTTTACGGACATTGTGGAATCAATTATCAAAAACCCTTCTTCTGAGCAGAAACACAGTCAATCTCTATGACTTCGGCAGCCCCCAGGTCGGGGCCAGTGGTTGTTGACATTTGACTTAATCTAATAACTCCATAGAGTAAAACGCAGTCTTTAAATGGCGAACGCATGCCTGGAATCTGTTTTTCAATTTCCGCCGTACAGCAAACGCGGAAATGCGGATTCTCTTTCCGCATTTGCGCCAATCTGGGCTTCGCTGCGGAAAGCGTGACGAAACCTATTTCCGCAGGTTTCCGTTTCCGCAGGTTTCCGTTTCGGCTCGTTCCCTGTTTCTTGCATAGGCGCTGTGTACATAAGCTTACAGTAATTAAAAAATACCTGATTTCAAAGCCGCGTACAGCAAGCATCGTCGCCGGTAGGCTTGTATTCAGGAATGTTGCCTATGATATTAGGCCAATGGTATCCAAAGATAAATCCGTCTGCATGTTCTTCACGCCCTGGCAACAATGGCAAAAACGTACTGACAGCCCAACCATGCAATAAGGAACGATCGCACGTTTATCTTTAAACGTTCTTGCCGCTTGTGCTGCTCGTGTAACCCCTCTTAGAAGCGATGCAGTAATGCCTGCTCAGGAACCGCCGAATCTCCACATACAGCACGTACACGGAAAGGACGGGCTCCCAAGGGTCGGCCCATTAAAATTCTGCGACACGATGCTCATTGTGCAACGCAAGTGGGACAGTGTGGAACCAACAAGGAATGGTTTGCGCAGCCAGGGCTTTCCATGCGCTTCAGGGCGCCTATATACCCGACGAAAACCCTGACAGGTGATATGGTGATATGGGATCTGTAATTGTTGTCCATTAAATCCCAACAATGGACAACAATAATTGTGTTCTGATAGACTACATATATTTCGGCATTTCTGATCTGCCCAGCATGGTACGGTGGCCGAGTGGTCTAAGGCGTAGGATTAAGGCTCCTATCCGCAAGGGCGCAGGTTCAAATCCTGCCCGTATCAATTTATGTCTTGCAATGAAATGATTTCACGTTACTCCGCAAGTATTTTTCCCGCCATGTCACAAGCCTCCGGGCGTAAGGTAGCAATGTCGATTTAATAACATTGCCTGTTTAACACTTACAGCAATGCATGTCTGCTGTTGTCCAATTTTGTGGGCTTGTTTGGGCCGCGTCTTTTCCTTCCGTCTTCAGGTATTTAATTGTCCAGTTGCAAATTATCGCACTCTGGCCGTGTACTAAAAACCGTATCACCTCCACACCTACACCATCACTCAATACCGCCGTCTTCCTCGCGTCCTCCTTTCCGCTGCAGCTTCTTTTTACTTCCTCGGTCTCCCTCCCCGGCCTCGTCACCCCGTCGCTTGCCATTCTTTCTAGGCTTCTGCTCCTCGTCCTGCGCCGTTCCGGTCTCTTGCCGCTGCTTTTTTCTGCGACCCACATCCTCCGTTTCCAAGTCCACCTCCGGCGCCAGGAAGGCCGACACACCGCCCTTCTTGCCATGGCCGTCTGCTGCACCCGCGGCACCCGCCGTGCCAGCCTGGGCTTTTTTCTTGAGTGACTCGGCCAAAACCCGCACGTCCTCGCCACCCTGTTTGGACTGCTCTTGTTGCTGCTGAACTCCACCGCTGCCGCGCCCCGTCGTGGAGGGGCCATTTTCCTGCATGAGGCGGGGCCGAAAAAAAGCCTCACTTCGCAGCACATGAAGCGCCCCGATAGGTCCATCACCCGACCCAGTGCCCGCACACGCCGCTGCGCCCGGCTGCACGGCCCGGCTGCACTCTTACCTTGGGCGCGATGAACGCTGCCTGCCGCTGCCGCAGCCGCTCCGCCGTACGTGCCTCCTGTGCCGCATCCTTGGCAGCCCGCGCGCGCTCACGCTTCTGCTCTTCTGATAAGAAGTACTCTCCGCTCTCCAACGCCAGATCCAGCTTGGAGGGCGGCATGGGCGGCGGGAAGGGCGTGTAGACCTTCTTTGCCTCCTCGCCGGCCTTGTTCGCGGCCTCCTCCGGCTTCTTGCGCTTTACGTTCTTCTTCTTGAACTTGGGCAAGAACCTGCACCACCCGTCAAGCAGTTAGGCGTTGTAAAGCGAATCTCAGCTGTTTCTAGTCCAGGATGCCCAGGTCACTTCGTGTGCTCGCTGTATGCGGCACGTCGACAGGAAACGGCTCCTGTTAATACGAGCAGCAGCATATATCGTATCTTCGAAGGGGTGGTATGGATTTCGCTCATCTCCCCATAGTCATCTCCCCATAGTCACCTCCCCATAGTCATCTCCCCATAGTCACATCTAAACTTTTGCCTCGGTCCGATCCGCGGCCTAGCCCAGGTGCCACGAGCGTCCGGACGAGGCAACAACCGCATGACTCCGTCCCCACGGGTTTCCAACCACGCAACCCCGATCTTCCCGCGCACCGGTCCCAGTTTTCGGTCGCCAACGCCGGGTCTTTGGCCAGCTCGCGCTTGATCATCAGGGTCTTGATATGGTAGATGGGGTGGATGTTCTTAATGCAGTCCTCGACCACCTTACGGATCTGCTTCAAACCCTTGTATGGCCCCATCGCCGCCACGGTGTTGCCTAGAGGGGACAGTAGGAGAGTGGAGGGGCTAGGGGCGCGTGGGCAGATGGCCGGGGAGCGTGCAGCGGCGAAATCCAAATGCAGGCAGCGCGCAATCACCGGCGGCGGTCACCAGGGGGTGCAACAGCTCCAGGGGGGTGCTGCTGCACCCTGCGAGCCAACGACCTGACGCTGTTCCATCAAGTTGTGGACTGCGCCACGTATCCACACGCACACGCACACATCCATACATTTACTAAACACATCCACCGACACCCACACCACACCACATCTCGCCGCACATCCAGAGCTACTGCGCTTGGTACGGTTCTGGATGAAAGGTGAAATATATTTAATAATGAGCACTAAACTAAGCGTGTACATCCCGCATCCATACGCAAGCGCAAGCAGCCATTCACCATGCACTCCGTACGGCCCTAGAGTCTCCTTTCCCAAGTCGCAATAATTTCGAGTAAAGAAAAACTGCCATGGCAGCTCCAGCGCCATAACATCTCCTTATCCGCGCTAAGCAGCCCTGCGGCCCCACACACCCCTAGGTCACACCCCAGCCGCGAGCACACCTTGCACAAGCATGTAGCAACCCGTTAGGAGCTCCAGCGCCTTTAACGTGCTGCCGTTGGGCCCTATGAGGCGCTGTCGCCGCTTCACAAACTTCTCCTGCGAGCACAATAATGATATCACGCATCAATTATTTTCAGGCAAACGGAAAGAGGGATGAGGGGATGAGGGCCGCACACCGTTGTAATCGACGGGGCTGCATGCGCCGTTGAGAGTCGACGACGCATTTCACAACCCCAGCAGGTCCCTTCTCTTCTAATTGCTCTACACCCCCCGAATGCATAAAAGACTAAACGGGTGCTTTGCTGCAGCTGGGTTCTAGGTTCAAGCTTTACACAGCAGACAACCGCAACCTCCGTCCAAGTCGCATGAAGTCGCACAAATGCACCGCGGCCGCACCTTGTTGCGGATAAGTCCTGAGATTTTGATGATGTCGCACTGCATGTCGTCCTGCATGAACGAAGACGAACACGAGCGCAAGCAGCAGCAGCAGCAGCAGCAGCAGCGGCACAGGCCAACGAAGAGTCAAGGTCGTATGAACCCCAGCGGAAAAACGGAATAGCGCTGTACACGCGTCACAGCGACACGGCTACAGGAAGGCGTCCAAGCCACGCTGGCATAGGACGTGCTTCGCATGGTCCCGCTAAACCAGTTCCCAGGTCCCCTCCAACCTGCAAGGCGGCCAAGCAGCACCCATATACCAGTCCAAACGTCCACAGGCACTGGGCAAAAGGGCGGCCCATGACTACGGCTGCTTGGGCTCGTACTGGACCAGCAACTACTATCCTGTGTGGTATGTCTGAAGGTGTCTGGGCTGGGCTGGTCAGGGTGTCTGGGCTGAAGCCCAGAGCCCAGCGCTAAGCCTTTCCATGAAATCCTGCCCGAGCCACCGTAACGCAAGCGCATTATCATCCAGATGGAAGCACATCGTCCCATCACTACCACATCCCTATGACGTTCCATTCATTCTTCCACGAGAGGCAAGGGACAACAATAAACCATTCTTTCGCACGAATATGGAGGTGCTCCCTTACGGCTTTTTCTTCTCTCCTGCCTCAGGGATCACGCGTCCTCCCCCTCGTTTCCTGCCGCGAACAACCATAGCGTTCCGTTCCATAGAGGTTTAGGAAGCACACTGTACCCCACCGCTTTCGACTCCCGTCCCGTCCCGGCCGACCACCGGTGCCGCACTTCACCTGCAAGATCTTCAGGGCCTGAGGAGCAGGCACGGACCTAGCCAGCAGCTTGATGAGGTCGCGTGCCTTGATAATGGCGAAGGGGTCCCAGGTTTTGCGGGTGGTGCGAACGGTCATGGAGCCCTCCACCAGGTTCAGCTCGCAGCCTATCCCCACATCCTGCGTGCATGCGTAAGTGCGCGCGTGTGCATACGCGCGCGTACATATACGCGTCAAGTGGAGGGCAAAAGCCAGAGGAGGAGAGGAGGACGGGTGAGCACAGGCGCGTGACATTTAGGTGCCGTGAACCCAGGGCGCCACTAACCCCGCACCATGCACCCCCCAGACCCCCGGTTTCAAGTGGATGGCCCCCGCCTTTTCGCGACTACCGCGCTTCGCAGCTGGGCATGGCATTTGCCGGGACAGTGTCCGACTACGGTGTTCGTGACAAGGTGCCTCCCAGTGGCTATCCTCCAGCGTCAGGGCGGCGGTTCAAGAGCACAAAAGTGAAATTTGACATGCTAGCGAGCGCAACCACCGCCTTTGCTGACATAACGGGGCAGCCGCCAAGGCACCAGACACTGCAGCGACAAACCATACACCCGCCCCGGGCGCCACCCTCCCTAAGCCTCTCCTACCTTGAGCGCTTTCGTCACCGCCGGCCAGACCTCTCGGAGGTACTTTTCTGCAGGCCAGAGGACAAGGCAGGACACAGCAGGGGGCTCTGAGCACGCGCAGCTGCCGATAGGACGACCGAAGAACGCCGCCACAGCGGGATCCGAGAGGACGCATGTGCTCAAGAGCAGCCATTGTTACATTCAAACACAGGCAAAAGATCTCCGCACCGCCGGGACGCGGTGGGGCGGATCTTCACATATCTTCACCTCAACCATGCCTAGCCATAGTCTTGTTTCGGTCCGTTGGCACTGCTTATTAAAGCAGAGGCTTTCCGCAAAGGGCTTTCCCCGCAAGCAAGCGCCCTGAGGGCGCTGGATGATCTACATCTGGACATCAGACTGGGGGAACCGAAGGAACGTACCACACAAGAGGCCTTTCCCCAAGAGGTTTTCGGTCCCATGACTCCTGACCCCAATCCGCTTTTGCTCATGAGAGGACCTGCAGCCCGTGCATATGCTTACGTTTGGTACATAGGCCCCACGGGCTATATATTATAGCCATCATGCATCCAACCACGCCAACTCCTTTGCATCCCCTGGCCATCGCGCTAATAATGTCGCTTTTGGTTCCGGCCGGCTATCAGGGCGTTGGGGGCATGGGTACGGTACCCCATTGCTCCACTGAGACATGTGCTTTCCTCGGACAGCCTGCTGATGGCGCCGTAACGGAAACACGCTGCTGCCAATGTTGGGTTTGCTCCTTGAGCCCAGGGCGTCGTACCTCGGTACTTTGGGAAGAGGGTGGCGAAGGAGCTCTCCTCAAGCAGGCCGCTTGGATTATCCTCAGGTTTAAAGGGCTCTACTTTCCAGTGATCAATTCCCTCATGGTCCCATGGCTTGTCTCGCCGGTGCTGGGCAGCGACGGTTGGGTAACGAAGCAAGCACGAGGCCCCAAGAAGGGCATTTCAATCGTGCGAAAAAATGTCAAGAGACGATAGTGATACGATGCAGATGCTTGCAAGTCACCGTAGGGATGCTGTCATAAGCTCGGCAGGTGCCAGTCAAGAATGAGTGGCCCAAAACGTAATTATAACATCAGCTCCCAGGACAATTCAACGCAGGACGATTAATAAATTATGCAGCTATCGAGCTAGGCAGCGCACGATGACCGGTTGGGAAATGCATACAGATTTGCGCTTTCAGGGTGGTTGCACGGTTATTAAGCGGAACAAAATTTTTTAACATTTTTAATGAGGCACCCGCTGGTGGAGCTAGGCATTTTCAGGTCTAAATGCAATGAATAGAGTTAACACAAGTATGCTTGGGCATTCAGTAGCTTCTCGAAAGCCGCCGTCGCCGCCCGTAAAGGACAAGAAGGCTAACGATAACAGCGTGAAACTGCCAGATACACGAGCATAGACTTTCCATTGTAGAAAAATGCCATGTGATTCCGAGGGGAGTAGACACACACCTTTCCTTTCTTCTTGCCTCCCTCCGCAGGCGTTGTGTCTCCTTCAGGGCCCCTTTCGGCCTCTTCAGTACTCATCTTGTTCAAGTAAAACCTATCTTCGTTTTTCACGACTTCGGAAAGGGAAATCCTAAAGCACATCCATGGGTTACACAGTAGTTAGGTCTTCGTGGTGATAAATGCGTTAAGGAAATGAGCAGTTGTAGGGACTGGGATAATCGATGCCCGCCTACAAGCTTGGTGACAGCATGGAAAGTGGTTAGGAAACGGTTTGACGTACGCCTGAATTCAACTCCTAGGCTTATGGGCCTCACCAGCGTCGGACAATGCACCTTTTTGAAGGTCCTCTCTAAGGAGTGACAGGCCATAGGTCCAGTGTACAGTGTTAAAACAAAGCAAGGTTTAGAACTTCTCTTAAATCGCGGGCAAGGATGTCGATGCTTGACGACCCCAACTTCGTTGGGCCTGAGGATGACGATGACATGGATGAGGCCAACCAGGTCTGTCTGTTGCAGAGCCTTTCCCTCATGGCCGCCTGGACCACCGCTGTCTCTACGTTCGATCAGAACCTCATGAATAGTCATGCTGATAATCAAAATATTCAAACTTGTTGCTAAGAATCCCTGACTACTTTTGGTTGGGGTCTTGTTCAGATTGGCGGAGACGAGGAGGACGATGCTGCCACTCAGGACGCCGAGACGGAGGATGTAGACTATGCCCCAGAGCATGGGGTGAGAAAGTAATAAAATTACTAGGAGCTCAGCCAGACCCGCATCAGTGGACCCCCTGCCGACCTCTTTGGCGCGAATCTGCTTCCCAACGCAGGACGATACGGTCCTCTCGCCAGCTAAACGAGAGGTTGCCCGAGCAGAGGCTGAGCGCCTTAAATCTCAGTCAAGGCAAAAGAAGGAATTGCTGGAGCGAATGAGGGAGCAGCAGAATGCTTTGGCCACCATGGGGGATGTGAGTCACGTCTATATATGCCATTGTTGATTCTGGACATATATGCTATCGATTGTGTTTCTCCATGCAGGCGGAGCGGGCCAGACACCGAATCAACTTCTTGCTGAAGCAAGCAGAAATCTTTCAGCACTTCGCGTCGGACTCAGCGATTAAGGAGGCAAAGAAGTATGTGGGGATGCCTCCGCTATGGGACAGGGTTTGGAGGCTTGGGGAAGTAGACGTGACTGGGGTGTTAGGGGCTGATGAACTATGACAACAGAGCTGCAGCTTGTCATGCATCATGGCCTCGGGCCTCTCCCCTACGCAGGGCCAAGGCGAAGGGGCGGGGGACGCGCAAGGAGGAGGACGAGGACGCGGAATTGCTCAAGGACGAGGACGACGGCGGTGTGAATGCGGGCCACCGCTTGCAGGTCCAGCCCTCCATCATCACGGGCGGGACGTTGCGCGAGTATCAGATGCAGGGTCTCAACTGGATGATCCATTTGTATGACAATGGCATCAACGGTATCCTCGCTGATGAGATGGTGAGCTAATTATCACTGTACTACATACATGTATTGCTGTTTGTCTCGGCGCGCCGCCAAACGGGATTACCGCGGCTCGGTGAACGTTTGCCACGCGCTGGGACACACAGTGGTGTATGGGTAATGGCACGTCGGTGCATCCATCGGGTATTCCACACCTCTGTCTCCAACCCGTGTTCTCCGATACACACCCTTCTCCGATACATCTTAACGTGTATCTTAACGTTCTCCGATACATTTTTGGTACCGCACTGTGGCGGCAGCCTCTGGAGATTGATAGCCCAACGCACTTTCACGCATCGAGCCTGGACGAGGTTTTTACTTCCTTCATGCCAGCCAGACAGCCTACTTCCGTTTGCCGAATCAGCAGTCAACCGGGTTCTGCGGTGCCGCGGTTGGGACACGGGATGACGCCGTAACCAGCTGATTGATATGGTGCTCGATTTTGGAAGCAGGCTAAGTCTCTGCGGAAATTATTACCTGCTTGGGCGCTCGCTACATGGGCGCTTCTGCTGCATGGTCTTGAAAGTGACAGCCGGTGGACTTCCGGGCGCCAGGGACCAGTAAAAGATTGCCAACGGCAGGCGGGCAGATGGACAGCTTCACCAGAATGTGCTTATGGCTAGGCCAGGGGCTAGGATGGCTGGCTTGGGCATGAAGATGCCTTTTGGGCAAATGGTCGTCGTCTAGGAATTCTCAACGAAGCGGTCGGTGCCCGGCAGCTGCCAGGGCGGAGGGACCCACGCCTTTCGCTTTGGGGCCATACGTAGGTCAAAGCATTTCATGTGGCGGTGACTTGGGCTGGAGCCACATTTAAAGGGCAGTTAAGACATGATGCTGCAGCCCACATGGTGCATGGGGTTGTGTCGGTGCGCACTGGAGTTGAATACTGAAGTGACATTTTGGACATGCATGGATCCAGCTATTCACTTACCCGGAGCCGTCTCTTTTGAGAATTTCATTTCACTTCCAGGGATCAGGACTGGGCATATGCTTCGGAAGCTATTAGGCGCCTGTAGCTCGTGCTTGCTGGGTCACTGGCGTAGCACTTGGACGGAGCCCATATTTCTGTACCTTAGCCTGCCTGCTTGACGGACATCTTGAGCAAACGGCCCTTCGGTAACTGGACGCCTCGCGTTTATCAAGACACCTTAACGTGTGCTTTTTCGTCATGTTTGCCGATTGCTGAATCCTAGCCGTCGCCCACAACGGTGTCCTCCCCATGCCGCGACCCGAATCCCTCACTTTTTTTTCTCAATACTGTTCTGTCGTGCTGCTGTTTGCCGCTCTCACAGGGTCTCGGCAAGACGCTGCAAACCATCTCCCTGGTGGCTTACCTGTATGAGTATCGTGGCATCACTGGGCCTCATATCGTCATTACGCCCAAATCCACGCTGGGTAACTGGGTCAACGAGTTCCGCCGCTTCTGCCCCATCATCCGTGTCACCAAGTTCCACGGCAACAATGAGGAGCGGGTGAGACGATGGGGATCGAGCCACTCAGTGATTAGCGAGGGGCTGTAATTTTTGGGAATTTATTGGGGATTTCTTGGGATTTTGATTGTGTAGACGGTATTTGTTGAGCGATGAGGCAGCTCAGACGCAGGAGCTTTCTTTATGCTTTGCGGTTTCTAAAAGCTTTCTCTCTACTTCTGCTGTTCTTCTTCATGGTAAATTGTATGCTTGCGGATGCTTGGATAGCGGCTAGCTGGTAACCGTGCCCCCCGGCCCCTCGCGTTACGGTTCTTCCCCTACCGAGTCGGTCCGCAGATGCACCAGAAGGAGTCGACCTGCGCGCCCGGGCGATTTGACGTGGTGGTGACGAGTTACGAGATGGTGATTAAGGAGAAAAACCACTTTAAGCGTTTCCACTGGCGCTACATCATCATTGACGAGGCGCATCGTATCAAGAACGAAAACTCACGTCTGTCGCAGGTGTGTGCTTCTGAGGATAGAAGCCGTTGCTGAAGAGGGCAAGGCAGAACAGAAGTGTCCGCATACAGTTGGTTGAAAAGTGGCAGGGAACAAATCGCGTTGTTTGTGGCTGTACCACTTCCTGACTCTTATCCTACCCTGTTTCTGTATTCCCCATACGACCGCATCCACAGGTGGTTAGGCAGCTTAAGACCAACTATCGGCTGCTCATCACAGGCACGCCGCTGCAGAACAACCTGCATGAGCTGTGGGCGCTGCTCAACTTCCTGTTGCCCGAGATTTTCAGCTCGGCGGAGAAGTTCGAGGAGTGGTTCAGCATGGGCGATGGAAGCAAGGAGAAGGAGGCGGAGGTGGTGCAGCAGCTGCATAAGGTCAGCGTGGCAGCTGCAGTGGGGAAGGACGAGTAGGACGTGTGCTGCCATCGGATTGTCAGGCCGGTGTTGGGCTACTCGGGTAGTTCGCGGGCTGGGGATTAAGTGACTTTACCGTCGTGCAGTTAGCGCGTACGACCTCGCGGGAATGCGAATTTTGCCCAGAGAGCGATGCGTGAGGACTCCTGGGACTTTCGGACCGGAAAATGAGGGGAAACGTGCTCCGTCCTGGACTGTATAAATGCAGGTGCTGCGCCCCTTCCTGCTGCGTCGTGTTAAGAGCGATGTGGAGCGCGGCCTGCCTCCCAAGAAGGAGACTATCCTCAAGATCGGCATGAGCGACATGCAAAAGAAATGGTGCATGGGGTCACCCTTCTCTGGGCGTGTGGGGCGTACGGGATTAGGACCTTCCACAAAAGGAACCGATGTCGCCGCCGGTTTAACAGAGGTCGCGCGAGTCCGGTTGTGGCACGGGCGCACGGTCATCTTTGACGACTAGGAAAGCCTGGAGATTCGGCGTGCTTGGCGTTGTCCGCCCCTCCGCCATACAGATGAGCTTTGCCTTCAACCGTTGCGACTTAGAACATGTAAACCTTTGCCGTCGCCCTCGGCTCTTGGGCCCCGACACACCCTGGTGGACCCCTGCTTACTCGGTCACGACGTCTCCGTCACGCTGCCCCTGCACCCTCAGGTACGCTGCGCTCCTACAGAAGGACATTGACGCGCTCAACGGCGGCGCCGACCGTGCCAAGCTGCTCAACGTTGTCATGCAGCTGCGCAAGTGCTGCAACCACCCATACCTCTTCCAAGGCGCTGAGCCGGGCCCGCCCTTCATCACTGGTACGATGAGGGGCTTGATGGGGGCCGCTGCCGGGAAGTAGACGAAAGTGTGGCTTCAACGGCTTCTGTCCGGGTTCTTTTACCGGTGCAGTAGGGAAGCGTTACTAGCCCGAGGTGTTGTCCAGGACGCTCTGTTGAACTCCCATAGGCTTCAGCAACCACTTTTAAAGCCGACTCCCAATCGCACAGGCGAGCACCTGATCGAGAACAGCGGCAAGCTGGTGCTGCTGGACAAGCTGCTGCCGCGCCTTAAGGAGCGCGACTCGCGTGTGCTCATCTTCAGCCAGATGACCCGCATGATCGACATCCTGGAGGACTACTGCCTGTACAGGTGCGTGCGACCTAGTTGCATCGAGTTTATCACATGCGGGCTTGTTGATGGTTTCGTAAAGGTAGTTCACCTTCACTCTTTCTATTATGTACCTAACAAGCAAGCACGAAAATGTGGCACAAAGAGCAACGAAAGTTGTACATGCGTAGGACGTGTTGGAAGGGAACATAGGTATTGTTAACTGTAAAACGATTAGTGCGATGTGCATGAGCAATATACTTCCCAAATGCTGTGTCAAATTGTAGGTGAGACTGGCATGGGTACGTGTCTTGTGTACATGAGATACTGACGCCCCATGTCACCGCGTCGCCCCATGTCGGTCGCAGCACCCAAAATGTTCCTCAATGCCCCACCTTTTTTGCGGAAACTCTTTGGCTGTTTCCCTCCAATGAATGTGCATAGGGGCTACGGCTACTGCCGCATCGATGGTAACACGGGTGGTGACGACCGTGACAACATGATTGACGAGTTCAACAAGCCGAACTCGTCCAAGTTTATCTTCCTGCTGTCCACTCGCGCCGGTGGTCTGGGCATCAACCTTGCCACGGCCGATATCGTCGTGCTCTATGACAGGTATGTGCCAGGAAGTCATGGGTGCCGGGCTTGCTTGTGATAGCTCGCGGGTTGCTCGAGGAAAGTTACTTTCTTTCGATTGAAACCGTTGCTGTCCCGCCATGCTTGCGGTCACTTGTGCCGCTTAAATGCATTTGCCTGAGCAGCTACCTTCACCACATACTAAGGATCTACTTTCCTCCCTTCCCATTTGACCATTCGCAGCGACTGGAACCCGCAGATGGACTTGCAGGTGAGGCAGGTTAACGGGTCGCTTTGGAGGTTGCTGCTACTGGTTGTCCTTCGTGCGCTTCTATCCCTTCTTAATCTTAAACCGGGAAGAAGAACTACACATGGGCCATGAGGGTGCTGAGTATCAAGGCCTCAAAGTAGAAGGACCTTTTTAGCACATTCTTTCAGAGAGCGGCTCCATGTTCGTCACCCTCTGTGCAAGTGTTCGCCATCAGTTTGCAACCACCAAACGCTATCTATTTTGCAACTGCACAGGCCATGGATCGTGCCCATCGTATCGGCCAGAAGAAGGAGGTGCAAGTCTTCCGCTTTTGCATCGAGAACTCGATTGAGGAGAAGGTGCGGTCTAGTTCTATACAGCAGGGTTCAGCACGGCGGCAGCACCCTGGTGCACGGCGGCTAGCTCTCGTCCTCCTGGCGCAGCCTTTATCTGAATTCACCTCTGGTGCCCTGAACTGCGTGCGGAAAGCCCGCGGACAACTTGATGTACCCATCCACTCCATATTCTTTACACGGCGCAGGTGATTGAGAAGGCCTACAAGAAGCTGCGCCTGGACGCGCTGGTCATCCAGCAGGGCCGCCTGACGGAGAACAACGCCACCAAAGTCAACAAGGACGACCTCATCAACATGGTCCGATACGGTGCCGAGCTGGTCTTCAGCAGCGACTCCTCCAACATCACGGACGCGGGTGCGTGCCACTGCAGCAGGCGCACTGTCGAGAGAGCAGCGCCGGCATTCGCCGAGGGCAGGGGCACTTGTGTGTGTCCTTGCATGTTTTGTTGTCGTCAAGGGCGTCCCCACGCTATGGTTCGTCGCGCAACTGGGAAATGTTGCTCTACCGGTTGTGTCGCCTGCGCGTTTCAATCATATGAAACATTAAGAGTACGTCATGGAGCATAAACCGCCTTGCTTCGCGCTCACCTGGAGGTTTATGATTTTCGGTCTGCGGCTTCGCAATTTGGCTGCCCATATCCCGTAGATATTGACGCCATCATCAAGAAGGGAGAGCGCGACACGGCGGACCTCAACCAGAAGATGCAGCAGTTCACGGAGAACGCTATGAAGTTCACCATGGATGGCGGCATTGCGTACGACTACAAGGACGAGGATGAGGGCGGCACCGACATCGGTGACCTCAAGGCCATCATGGGTGAGCAAGTGGAACTGTGAACTGTGGTTTTATAGGCATACAGCCGACATCTGTACTTGCTTATCATAACACCTTCCATGTTTGCGCTATCATTCGACATGTGCCATTCTCGGCGTCTTCTTGCTATAGGGGATGCCCAGGGTCATATGTCCTTTTTGGGTCCTTCTCCAGGACGGAGGAAAGCCCGATGCCTTAACCGTTGCCGTGATTACCGTAACCTGCTTGCTTCTCCCTCCCCAAGGCTCAAATTGGGTCGATCCGCCTAAGCGTGAGCGCAAGCGCCACCTGCTTAACTACAACGACGCCGAGTATTACAAGAACGCCATGAAGGCCGGCGCAAAGGGCGATCCACGCGGGCCCCGCCTGCCCAAGATGCCCGTGTTGCAGGACTTCCAGTTCTACAACGTGAGTTAAAACCGTACGTGCGAAACCGCCACGATAATTCTTGTGGATGGCATGCCGTGACTCATTGCATTCCTAAGGATGTGTTGGGATGGGCAATGAAACGCATTACAATTGGGTTGGGATGGTGGCAACGGAGTAGCGCACGGTCCGTGGATGGACAGCGACATCATCTACCGCGTGTATGCTGCAGGTGACGCGCATCCAGGAGCTGTACGAGAAGGAGCACCTGTATGAGACGCATAAGCACGCGATGGCGGCGAAGGAGGCCTCCCTCAAGAACCAGGGAGCGAGCGAGGAGGCGCTGGCGGAGGCGCTTACGCCCTCCGCGGACGACCCACAGCCGCTGACGGAGGAGGAACAGGCGGAGCGCGAGCAGCTGCTCGAGGACGGCTTCAAGGATTGGACCAAGAGGTAAGGGAGAGGGGCTGTGGGATATTGGCGCATGTTCCTCTTAATCCGTAAAACCAATTCGGTTGTCAGGAGTTCCATTGGGGGGATGGCGTTCGATTGGCGACTTACCGGATGGCGTCCGGGTTAGGGCTGAAGTTCGGCGTAGTAATGTCTGTCCAACTTCTTGATGTCAGCGCCTCAGTCCTGTTCCGTGTCCGGCTCTTGCCGTCTGCAGGGACTTCAACGCCTTTGTCCGAGCATGCGAGAAATACGGGCGAGAAAACATCCCGCAGATCGCTGCCGAGGTGGACGGCAAGACGGATGAGGAGGTCCACGCCTACGCCAAGGTGCGGTGGGACGGGGGCCTTCCCTCCCTGTGCGCAGTTTATCCCTTTACGCTTTGCTTGTTTGCTGCTATTCTGCCTTGTAGGTGTTCTGGAAGCGTTACCGCGAACTGAGCGACTGGGAGAAGGTCATCAAGAACATCGAGCGCGGTGAGCAGAAGATCCAGCGGCAGCAGGACATCATGAACGCTGTGGCTGCCAAGCTGGAGCGGTACAAGAACCCTTGGCAGGAGCTCAAGGTATGTCGGACGAAGGGTTGCGCGCAGCTGTAGTCTCAGCAGATCGCCTTCTGGGATCCTGATTTGCTTCGCGCCATCACCAACCGCCAGCCACTACGTGCCGGGCACACTTACCGCACCCGACTCGCGCTTGACAGGTGATGGCTCTTGGTGCTCCCTTTCTTTTGTCCGAGTACTTGCAACTTGCCCGCTGCAAGAGCTGCTGTTACAGAACTGCACTTGCTGCGCTGAACGTTCTTCTATATCGTGTTTGGGCCTTTCTTCGGATTTCTGGTCTTACCTCCGTCTTCTTACCTCCGTCCTCATGGTGGGGTGCCGCTCTGCAGATCCAGTACGGTGCCAACAAGGGCAAGGCGTACACCGAGGAGGAAGACCGCTTCATCCTGTGCATGGTGCATAAGCTTGGGTACGGCAACTGGGACGACCTCAAGGCGGAAATCCGCAAGAGCTGGCGCTTCCGGTTCGACTGGTTTTTCAAAAGCCGCACACCGCAAGAGCTGGGCCGCAGGTGCGTGGAGTTCTATTGTAACGGGATAAAGAATTTTTGACCTTCAGACTTACGGGCAGATCGGGAATCCAATATGGAGTATCAAGGTTACGTGATGCGAGTGCCCACATATCGGACGCGTAACATGACTCGAAGACCCATAAATCTGTGCTGAAAACACTTAAAAGACGAAATGGACCTTAGACGAAAAGCTCAATTGAGATTTACTCCCTTCTCACCCTCCGCTACTGCAGGTGCGAGACGCTTATCCGCCTGATTGAGAAGGAGAACGAGGACATGAAGGAGGAGACGGACAAGGGCACTCGGGGGCGGGGAGGCGGCGGTGGCGGTCGCGGTGGCGGCCGGGGAGGCCGTGGCGGGGGCGCAGCCGGCGCCGAGGGTGCGGGCACGGGCCGCAAGCGCAAGAGCACCGCAGCGGGGGCGTCCGCGGCGGCAACGCCAGCCATAGGCGGCACCCCACAGCCAGGCAGCGAGGATGGGTCACCACAGCCTCCAGACCGCAAGAAGGGCCGTGTATAAGAACACATTATAGAAACATACATGACCTGATGTGACACGACGTGACCTGACCTGACTCAACCTAACCTTTGTGGTGTGCGCTGCGTACGTTATTTGGATGTCGAGCGCTGATAGTCCTATTGCTGTCAGTCTGTCGCTGGTACTCTTCCCTAGCACGGGTGGCGCAGTAAGCGGCGAGATGCGATGAGGTAATGCTCGGCGGGAGGAAGGCTTGCCTGCACAGCTCGCGGGAGTTTCTCATGGACAACTCGGGGCCAGTCATCCGTTGCATCACGGCTGCGTTGATCAGGCCTTGGGCGATTCTGTGTGCTATTTTGATGGCACGCAGCCCAGCCTCAGCCCTCGACATGAAATGCAAAGACAACCTGCGGGGAGCTGTGCATTATGCGGCATGTTGGACTTGACTTATCGGCCATGTTGGCTGCCTTGACTGTTATTGATGTTGTGACCGAGATTACTGCGGCAGAGGGCGACCCATACAACGCCTATTGGGATCTACGATCCGAGTAAACACGGCCTGCCACCGCTTTACCACTCTCTCTGCCGCACTTGTGTCTTTCAACAACGTCGGACGAAGTACATAACTTGCTAGCATTCAGCAGCTTCTTGGCGCGAGCTTGTTGAAGGGTATTTGTGTTGTAAATCGGTTATTTTAGCGGGTAGAGTTGCATGGCTGCGGTGAAGCTGCTGTGGTGAAGCGCCATCACCGGCTGCCAACTGGCGAAAAGATTTGTGGCTGCCATTTGAGGCGGTTGTTGAGGTGTGTGCTTCTGCAAGTGGCCGCCATGGCAGGCCGGATGTGGAAAGCTCGTTGCGAACCTGAAGTGGATTTTCGACTGAATGCGAAGCAGGGAACTTTGTAGGACTTAACCTACAATAAAGGTTTTAGTATTGTGTACGGGCTCTGCTGCGGGCCTCCGCAAGTGGGTACTTGTCCATAGCATCCCGCTTCAATAGGAGTGCATGGTTTGGGGCGCAGCTCCAATGACATGGCAGCTAAGAACGTCTTGTAACGCTAGCGGGACATTTCGGTCGCGCATACCTCCCCTGTACGTTATCTGTTCCGCGCGACACCCTGCTGGGAAACTTGACCCAAGCCGAGACGAGCTGCCTGCGGAGCGACCCCTTAACATGAAGTCACTCGTCAGCAGCGTCTCTATCAAACACAGGGCAGGTTGGCGGATGTGGAGCCCTGTGGGCAATCGCCGTCCAGTGGGATGATCGACACGAGGCTGCTAGTACTGTATGGGCCGGGGATGAGGGTCGTTCACTCACCCTTGTATGTGGCACCCCAGACCGGGCCGCTCGAGGTTGGATAAGTTGGATAGGTGCTACGTGTCCATAGAAGCGGCAATAAAGGCTAAGTCGGGTGGCTACGGTTACCAGGGGTTACCTTTCTCGCGGTGTCCTAAGGGAGAGGATTGCGGCGAGTGCGCTGCAACTGCTTAGCGAATAGGGAGTTGAGGCGCCAATTAGCTTCGCCCACCAGCATAGGCCACGGCTAGCCTTCTGGAAATGGTGGGCCCCGGTTGAGTGAAGTCTTGCCATAAGCAGCCATGAAGGAGCTTTGACTCCTTCCTTTGAGCTGAAGGAGTCAAAGCAGCGCTGGAAGAGCTGAACCGTAGGCATGTGGAAGCGGAGACTCGAGGGGAAGCCCTGCTGTACCTGGCGGGTTCGGCAGCTGCACAGGCAGGGCAATCGGCGCGACCATTGCTTGCAGGGTGCGAGTGCAATGGATCAGAGAAGAGTAGTGGCCCAACCGATATCTCACATTTGCCTGACCTTGAACCCGCCGGCAGCCTAACAGGCTGTCATAAGCCTTCGGGACGCATCAGGCAATCGGCCGGCGAAGCTGCCTCAGCCGAAGGCGAACTACCGGGGGTCCGTATGCTAAGCATTCGGAAGCACCGCACCGGAGGCTCAGGAACGCGTTCTGGATGCAATGCGGGAGCGGGGCCTTCGGATAAGGACGAGCCGACGAGGAGGCGGAAGGGGTGGTAACAACGGAGCTGTATCTGAGCACGCTACTTCAGAGCGCGCCAGGTCGGGAAATGCCTGTGGAAATGCTCTTCGTAACATTTGAAACCAGCTCCGCACCGGCGCTTGCAGACTTGTTTCGGTCCTTGGTCAGGAAGGACGAGCGGGCTCAATTATCTTAAAAAAACTGCGGCTCCATCAGGTAGTTATGGGCCTATCATTCTCTTAAGACACGAATGATGCCGGCAAAAGTGCTAGCCAACCGCCCGGGGCCAGTGCTAGGGAGGGTGCCAACCCTGGAACAGTCGACGTTTCTCCCTGCATGCGTATATCGCTACCTTACATTGGATGCACATTCCTTCCTCCTGCTGAACTCTTGAGAGAGGTGGTAGCTGTAGCACACCAGAAGAGCTAAGCATCTGAAATCTACCTGCTTTTCGTCCCTCTTACAAGCCTAAGCGCAAACCACAGAATCTGATCATCTCGCGGAGAGCTGGCATCCGGAAACAGGGAACAGTACACGCATCCAAGATGCGCCTTCATACCCTTCCTGCAGGTCCATCTGGCGAGGGGCATATCTCTGTCCGTCTGTTTGTCTATCCGTCTGCCTGCGGTCTGTTTGTCCGTCTGTACGTCCATCAAGGACCGTCAGGCCTATCGCAATACACTTTTACCCACATACTTGCTCACTCAAGCACCCACACGCAAAGCTCACACAACCTCTCACCACCGCCAGCGTCCCGAACGCCATGAAAAATACCAGCACCCGGTACATGCGCTTCATTTGCATAATTTACTACTTCACTGCACGAGGACTTGCGACACGACTTTTGAAGATCGCGATTTCACACGCGTCACAAGCATTACAGTGTCGCTGCCCCCGGTCGTTTCGTCGCCCCTTTGTAAATCACCATCCGCGAGCCCTCCGACCGCGAAAGAAGGAAGTTCCTCTTTCCCGTCACCATCCAGTCGCACCCCCACCACCCGCTACAGGCACACCGCCCGTCCGCCGACGAAGCGCGCGCGGCAAGGCGGCCAGCAGCGACGCCGGCAGCGGTGCCGCCGCCTGCACCGCTGCCGGCGGCTGCGGCGGCTGCGGCGGCGGCGCCAGCCGCCGCAACAGCGCCTTCCCAAGCTCGACGCCCTCCGCGACCGCATTCATGCAAGCGCCCACAGCCGCCCGGGCCCTCCTCAGCACCGCCACCGCCTCCTTCGCATTCGCCGCCATCCGCCTCCGCGCGCCCTCGTCAGCGTCTATGCTACCGCTGTCGCTGTCATCATTATCATCATCATCATCATCATCGTCGGAGGAAGAGGAGGAAGAAGGGGAGGAGGACGAAGAAGGTGCAATAGGCGAGGAGTCCGTTCCAGGCTGCCGCCGCTTCCGACCCGGCTCCTTTCCCCGCCTCCACTGTGCAGCTGCGAGCTGCTCCGCTAGCCGCTGCCGTGCCAAGTACAGCTCGTACAGCACGTGTTGTGTGTAGAAGTTGCACGGGCCGAGCATCAAAACCGCCACTCGGGCGCGGTGCTGCAGGTGACCCAGCAACGCTCCATCCGGCGACCGCTGCACCGCTGCAGCTGCTGCATCCCCGCCGCCGCCGCCGCCGCTGCCGCCGCCGCCGCCGCCGCCCCACAGCATCGGCGGCTCCGAGAACGCGCCCGCCAGCCACCAGAGCGCACGTTCCCGCAGCTCTGGTTCGACCTTGTCTCGCCACAGCTCCAAGGCCGCCGCGCCGCCGTCATCACCGCCGCCGTCACCGCCATTTCCTCCCTGGGCCTCGCCCCTCGTGGCGTGCTCTTGCCGCCGCAGCCGCCGCAGGGCCGTCTGCAGCCCACTCGCCGGCCCCGCGGCAGCTGTGTTTCCCCCACCCGTTCCCCCGGGCTGGGCTTGGGGAGCTGTGGCGACCGGTGTGTTGTGGGGGGGGGGTTCGGGGGCGCCGATGTCGAAAGATGTGTGCTTTAATGGTCTGAGCCGCAAGGGGAGAAAGTGCCCGATATGTCACGTGAATGTGTGTGCACGTGTGTATGAGAAGAAGTCCAACAGCAAGGGGATGAACTTAAGGGGAACCCCTTTGGTAAGAGCTGTAGACAAGACGATGCAAGACGCGTTTGGGTGCCCCGAGGTCGGGTTCGGTTAAATTTGGGAGCGGCAGCAAAGCCAGGCCATCAAAGGCGCAGGTCTCAGCATCCACCGACGGCAATAAATTCGACAGTTGGGCACGTTCATGGCGGTGACTGCTGCACAACCAAACGTACCTGCTGGCGGCGTCGGCGCCGCCGCTTTCGCAAGCTTTGACAAGGTCGAGTCAAGCAACGCCCACACCTCCGCCTCGTACGGCGAGCTCAGTACACCCGTCGTACAGAGGTCCAGGTGCAGCAGGCAGCCTCGGACCAGTGCCAGGGAGCAGGAGCTGCAGTGGTCGCTGCTGCGTGCGAGACCTGACGACAAATGCGATCCATATGACCCATGGGTCACAGCATACCGGAGAGCGAAACAGGAAAAAGGGCAAAAAGACAAGAGAAAAGACAAGGGAGACACAGGACGGGCGGATGTTAACCCTAAGACCCGAACACACACATCCCTAAGGTTTGCCCCCAGGTTTGCCAATAGGGGGAAGTCGCCGCGGGGGAAAGAGCCAGTAAAGTAAAGTGGTAAAGTGGTAAAGTGGTTGTACCTCCTAATTACAGGGGGAAGGGGGAAAAGGGGATGTCGTACTAGAGGGGCCGGGCGGGGGGGGGTACGGGGCGGGCGGGAAAAAGGGCGTCGAAAACACACACACATACACACACATGCACAGTTCATCCGACACGGTCCTTTCCGCAAACGCGTCACCTTTGTATATGAAAAGTGCTTTAGCGAGAAACACAACACGAGACCCGTGCGGAGGGATGGGGGCGGGGAGGGAGAGGAAGGGGGACACACTCACCCGCCAGAGCTGCCGTACACAGTGGATCCGATTTCAGGGCCTGTAGCTGCATCTGGACGAGAGAATGGAGGTCCGTTAGAACGCTGTGGCTGTCAGCCGCGTTCAGCGCCGCTGATGTGGCCCTCTTGTTCCGGTTCTCCCGCCAAAGGTCCCTTTTTTTCTGAAGTTCCTTCTTCCTCTTCGCCTCCTCCTCCGCCCGCTGTCGTCTCCGCCTCCGCTCCTTCGCCTCCTGCCGCTTCTGTTCTTCGTCCTCCTCTTTCGCCTCTTCCTCTTCCTCCTCTTCCTCCTCCTGCTGCCGCCGCTTCCGTTTCTTTTCCTGCCGCTGCTCCTCCTCCTCCTCCTCCTCCTGCTGCTGCTGCTGCTGCTGCTGCTGCCGCCTCCGCGTTGACTTGCGAGTCGGTTGTGATGTGGACGGTCCCGGTCCCGCATCACCCGAGTCTTCGGCGGCTTCACCTGCCGCGGCGGCGCCCATTGCTGCTGCTTCGCCGTCCGCGTCTGTCTCCTCCACCCCCACCTCCTCTGCTTCCCGGTGTGCCTTCCGCTTCTTCCCACTCTCCCTCTTCTTCTCCTCCCCCTTCTCCCTCCTCCCCTTCCCCCCCGCCTTCCTCCCTCCCTTTTCCCGCCTCTTTGCCCTCCTCCTTCCCCTCCTCTCCTCTCCATCCGCCTCGTCGTCAACGCCCATCTCCTCCTCCCCCTCCTCCCCTTGCGCCGCCGCCGCCGCCGCCGCGCCTGCATTACCGCCGCCGCCGTGGCGGCTGGTTACCCCCAGTCGTACCCCCAACACCTTGACCGCGGTGCCGGGCTGCACCATCGCCACCGACTCCATCCACTCCAGGTACTCGCAGTAGCTGTCCGCCAGTTCCACCATCAGCACCGTCAGGCCCACTGCGTCAGGATCCCCTGGAGCAAACCGGACGGCGGTGACGCCCGCCGCCATGCCTTGGCCGATCCTGCCGGCGGCGCAGTAGCTCTGGGCTAGAAAGTACGACAGTTTGGTGGTGTTGTTTGGGAGATGAGCCATCGCAACCTGGGGTGGGGTGGAGGGGCGGGTGGAGGGGGAGATACGAACCACGAGCGAGTGTGAAGCTGATGCCAAGGAAAGACTGAAGGGGGTCGGGGGGGGGGATGAATGGGTTTTGGGGAAAGCTCCAGACACACCGAACAAGACCTGGATGGCAGGGTGCGAAAGCCTTACGACCCCCTTCCAAGGAGTTAGGTCGGGTGGGCGGGTGGGTGTGAATGCAAGCGGGATAAGGACACAGGATGGTCGGGTGGGGGGGCGGAAGGGCGGGTTGGAGGTGCAGGTGGTGTGTTAGCAGGCGGTGGTGTCTGATTCCACCGGGGGCCCGGGCCACAGGAGGGGACGACAGAGGGGAGAGGTAGAGAGAGCAAAACACGGCGTACCCCCGCCAGGAGGTCGTCACTGACCCCCAAACCCCACTCGGGGTGGCATTGACACCTTGCCGCGGCAACCCCCCCCAAACCCAAATCCAAACCCACCCCACACACCACCCAAGACACCACTCGGTCCCCCCCAGGAACTAACGTCACACACAAACTCCTTTTTATGGAAATCCTGGAGCTTGTCCAACCACTCCAACCACCCCAACTGTACCCATTCCTGCATACAACCCCGCCTCTCACCCTCCCTCTCCTCCGCGCCGCCCTACCCGCAGGCACCTCTCACACTGCTTCCAGCCCTCCATGGCCGCGGGGTTGCCACGCATCGTTTTGGACCACGCCCGCGGCAAGTGCTCCCAGGCCCGTACGGGCGCCAGCGAAACACCTCGCGAGCCGCTGTCGCCACCGCGGCGGCCTGCCGCCCCCTCCCCCTCTCCCTCCTCCGCCGCCACCGCCGCCGCGGCAACTTGCGCCTCCGCCTCCGCCTCGGCGAGCAGATTCTCGCAATACGGCCGCATCCTGTCCGGGGGGCCGGGGCGCTGGGGTGTATGTATTCGTATTCGTGTTCGTGGTGTAGGACGTTGAAGCGAGGGGAGTTTAGGGAGTTAAAAAACCTGGTACCAGGTGGGGCATCGGCGTGCCCGTGTGCCTGAGTGCGTGGGTTGTGTGTGTATGTATGTACATGTATGTACATGTATGTACATGTATGTACATGTATGTATGTATGTATGTATGTATGTATGTTGTTACAGGGTGGTTAACTTCGCCAGCGGCCCCCTTTCCCGGGGCAGTCCCTGCTCTCCCCTGCTAGAGGGGCACCCTAATCCGTCACCCCATCCGACTTCAGAATGTATTCGTTGGGTTCGGCAACTCACCACCAGCATCCAACCAAATCTAGCGGATCAACGGCGCATCAACTTAGTTCCTGGTCAGCTCGCAAGTTGATATTATCACGTCCTACACCGTCCATAAGATGGGGGGCCACCTCCCATTTCATCACTCCTCAAACACCCGAGGAGCCGGCAGGCGGATTTGAACCCGGGTCGACTGGGTCGACTGGGAGCAGAAGTCAGGCCTTAACCTCTGCCAGCCGCCTGCCTATGTATGTATGTATGTATGTATGTATGTATGTATGTATGTATGTATGTATGTATGTATGTATGTGTGAGGGGGAAGAGAGATAAGATGCAAGCGCGCCGGACAATTTCAAAACTCAGACCCTCGGTGGTACACTATCTACTCGTATGAGGCCTTTGTACTAGTCCGTACAATGCCGTACACACACCAGTTCAAGTAGCCCACCAATCCCGATATTGCAGTACGGGGCGCATCCACCCAGGCCGAAAGCGGCTTAGACAGCTTGGCGGACAGCACCGCCGCCGTACTGCTCAGTTTGTCCTGTTTGTCCAGTTTGGTGGCAACATGTGGGCGCGAGGTGGGATACGGGCAGGGCGGGGCGGGGCGTGTGTATGTATGTGTATGTATGTGTATGTATGTATGTATGTATGTATGTATGTATGTATGTATGTATGTATGTATGTATGTATGTATGTATGTGTTTTTTAATTAACTGGGGCACGTCCACGTGTTGTGTCTGTAGGCCGCCTGTGGAAAATGACGGGACTAGCCATTGACGTGAAGGGCCGTGATAGCTCAAATAGCCTCGGGGGCTGTACCGATGGTGGGTGGGTGGGTGGCATGTGTGTATACGTTTGTGTGTTTACGTGTCCCCCTCTGTCCGCCCTCCCCCCGCCGCCCCCCCCACATACATCAACATGAGGACACGGGCTCCCGGACCACTTCCGCTGTGCGGTGCTGTGCTGTGCTGTGCTGCCGGCACCCCCCAACTGGGATTCCTGTGTCCCACCCCACCCCACCTCACCCCACCTCACCCCACCCCGCCCAAAACCCTCCCAACCACGGCGAGACGTCGTAACCGACAATCAAGACATAGGGCCCATGACCGCCTCCTGGCAGCTCTGGGCTGAGAGCCGCTGGTGCTTAGCATACGGGCTGCTGCTGCTGCTGCTGGCATTTCCCACTATTCGTACGATGCAACCCCCACCGCCACCACAAGCCCAAAAGCCGCTTTGTTCCCCTTCCCTTTGCCCCCTACCCCCCCCCAAAGAATAACCAATTCAAGTACGACAAGGGTTAAAAGGAAGTCCTCTCACCGCTTCTAGCAGCTGTACGGCAACAACGGCCGCGACACGCTCCTTGTGCCGTACACTCAGCTGGAAGTGTGCCAACTGCTTCAGCGCGCGATAAACCTACATAAGAGGTAGGCGGGTTGTTGGTTAGGTTGTTGGTGGGCACCGGGCATGGGGGGAGGGAGGGGGTATTAAGAGTCATGATGGAGTCGTAGGTACGGGAGGAAGAGGAGGGGTAAAGCCACTGAGGCAGGCAGTGCGAAAAAGGAAATTTGAGTACGGAACGAATGCACATGTACACAAAGAATGCATCGGCTAAGAAAAGGTGGATGTGGCACGCACGTACATACATACAGGCATACATACACACATACATACGTACATACACACGCACATTGCGCCCCGATGTAGATGATATTCCCCCTTTCTAACACATACCCACGCCTACACCCCTTCCCCCACCTCACCCCCTCACTCACCAAGGGGGCTGACGACATGCCCGAAGCCAGCAGCAACTCTGCCGTACACACCAGCATCCGTACAATGGTCCGTTTATTAGCCTGGTAGTTGGTGGCCTCATCCAAGTCGCGCAAAAACCTCTTTCCGGGCTTGTCCAGCCGATATATGTCCTGTATAACATGATGCAACACCGTACGGCATGGCAAGGCAGGCGAGTGTACGCGTAGAGTAGGTAAGTGTGGATTTTTCCGTACAACAAGTTTCAACCGGTCACGAATCAGAATGGTGAGCATGTGGAGCGGTGGTGGTTCCGGTCTGTATCCCCCTCCCCCTCCCCCCGGGGTATAGCGACCGCATCCCCGGTCAGCTGGAAAGCGCTTTCCTGATGCGGAGGGGGCGGGACTCGGGTGGGGCGAGTGAGCAGCAGAGCTAGGCGGGGAGGGAGGGAGGGGGGGAGGGAGAAGGGGGGGGGAGGGAGAGGGGAAGGGAGGGAGGGAGGGGGGAAAGACGAACCACGAGCGGGTGAAGCTGCTGCCAAGGAAAGAGTGCTGCAGTGCAGATGTAAATAGAGCATGGCTAACCAGTCGGCGGTTGTGAAGAAGCCGTCCTCGGGATGATGTAGAGTGATGACGACAGCGGAAACCTACCTACCTACCTACCTACCTACCTAGCCGCCAAGACTAAAATAAGAGCAGAAGAAGAGCAGTAGAACCAAGCCGTAAACTAGTAAAGGTAGGTGTAAAGGCGGCGAAAAGCTAATAAAAGTGACGTGAGAAGAGAAAGGGATGATGTGAGCTGGAACAAAGTTTGCCGCCGGCCTGGCGGCGGCATTGAAGAGGCTGGAGCAAAAGTGGCTGATAAGCTGGTAATAAGCTGCTGGTGACATGGAAGTGCCCCTCCCAAACCCCCAGCAGAGGGAGAGGGGAGAGAGAGAGGGGGAGAGGGAGAGACAGTGAGAAGTCCTCCCATCCCCCCGGCAGAACTCCCAGGGATTGCCTGTCCAAGGTTGGCGGCTCACCGTGCACTTCCACAGCATGTTGCAGATGTTCACCGCTGAGAGGTAGTCCCGTCGGAGGATGCACCAGGGAAGAAGCTCATCCAGGAGTCGGACGTACTGGTTGCGGAGCTGAGTGGAGCAGCATGGACAGATGAGAAAGATGGGCATGTGACAGATGAGAAAGATGACGGCTCAAGGATACAGTAAGCGGATGCATTCCACGCGGCTATGTAGGCATTATGGATTGCATTTTAGCTAGCCAATGCGCAAAGCCGCCGAAGCCAGGTCCATGGTTCGCTCACCTGAATTCGTCCACTACTTAGGTCTGCTGGCAGGCCAAGTCTAGATATGACAAGCCGTTTTGGCGGTCTCGGAATACCGGCTCGTTCCCAAACCTCAAGCTGCTGCAGGACATCTTTCGACTCCCCAGGCTCCGACTCCCAATGCTTCATCCTTTTGCTCCCAGAATAACCTAGTGATAAGCTATATCTTTCAAATTATCTAATCATGCCACTGCGCCTCAATCCATATAACTTGACGCTCCGAACTTCCACGAAAGAGGCTGCAACGTTTCTTACAACCCGTTACATAGGCATAAACGCTGGAACCGCAAAACAGTTGTACGCCCGTAGAATTTACAATATATACCTGACAAGTATTTAGAAGACGACGCCACTCCGGTTTCGGAGCTACCATGCTACCAGTTGACTAATATCAACTGCAAAAAGAAGCTCCTGTTCTCCCAGACCCTAATCGAGTAGCCACGCCATACGCCCCCAAAATCTTCAAGCTCTAGCGAAAAGACGTAGGAATCACAAGGACAGGTTTGAACCAGTGAAACTGAAAACTCTGTCCGCAACTCCGCTGGAAATCAGGGAAATTGACAGAGAACTATACCCATCGCAAAGCCGACAAGTCTAACTAGCTAGTTTTTTCACAATCGATGATTGCACGTCAGCATGCCAAGTCCTACGAGCTGACCAGGATAGGAGTTGAGCCGCCGTTGATCCGGCAGATTCCGTTGGATGCCGGTGGCGGGCGCTGAACCAGAGCGATCCACTGAGAAGTCGGCTAGGTGACTGGATGAGGGTGCCCCAAAATACCGGAGAAGGCAGGGTTTCGCCGGGTAGCGGCCACGGATGAAGATATGCCCCCTGTCCCACACATCATACCAAAAATTGGTCGGCGAGGGTCATCGTCGTACGGCGTCACGCCAAGCCGTTCCGTTGTGGCCAATGCCCCGTTAAGCGCCCGTGACCATCTCCCCAAGCCTGTGCAGGATTTGATGGAGCTCACATATCCTTACACCATGTACCTTGGCTCTGGCGTTGACCGAGCCGCTACCGTGTCATGTAGCGACCCATGGTTCGCATGGAGGGGTTGGATCCCTACATATTTCATGGCCACGTGACCCTCTAAACCTATCTCCGCGGTAGGGCGCTCAGCTTTACGCAAACGCGTGTCTCGAGAGTCGACAGAAGTAGGAACATGATGAATGTGTCGTAACCACCCCTTTCAATGTTTAACACTAGACGGGTGGGATAGCAACGCAGACGCCGTCGTTATGGTCTGTGGATGGGCGACCTCCTTCGACGTAAGGATGTTGGCCGTCAGCTAATACATCAGAGCTTGATTGACATCAAGAATACACATGTGGATTCAAGAAATACAGCAATCATAAACACAAGCCTGACATCCGGCCAGCCCACAACTACTACGAGCCAGGTGGCCCTATGGAAACTCCCATAATAACGGCCAAAACAGTCATATTTGTTCAAACAATGGTGTAAGATGAAGGGGTAACATGCTTTCTACCGGGTATTAAAAACCAAGCATTGTAAAAGAATTGGGAAGATGCAAATAATTTATGGTTCATGTTATCGACTTGAATTTAACAATGAGAATAAAAGGAAAGCAACGGCAATAGTTTGGCGATTGGAAGTCCGCAGCCACAACTCCTGCCGAGGGCCGAGAGGGTCTAGAAGAAGACCGCCGTCATTATGCTATTTTCATTCCCAGACCTCCGTCTTTAAAGATATTGATTAATAGAATTGGTTCGTTCTTTGTTCAAATATAAAGTTACACAAACGCTTCCATCCTTACAGTCCCAACACTTGTGCCTCTGTCCTCGTTCAGAATGTTAGCAAACTTGCGGAATCGTGTTGAAGGACGCGCTAGCTTTGTTTGCAATAGGTCAGCGGCTGCACCAGTGCGCGTCCGCTCTGCACACCGTGGGTCGGCGCGGCGACGGGGTCAAGCTGTGGTAGTGCGGGCAGATACAGACTACTATGACCTACTCGGCGTTCCGCGTACTGCTGACAAGAAAACGATTAAGCAGGCATATCGTCAAAAAGCTCGCAAGTACCACCCTGTGAGTAAACAGGCTCGATCGTCTGATGTGCCATTTTGTTTAGCGAAGCTGATGCCTCAATGCTTGGATATCAATGCCGTATGGCCACCAGGACGTGAACAAGGAGCCGGGTGCAGAAGACCTTTTCAAGAAGATTGGAGAGGCCTACGAGGTGCGAAAGACAAGAAAGCCGCACGCCAAAGTGCAATTTTCGACTATGTGCAGCGACCCAATACCTCCCTTACAGTGCAAAATAGTGTCAGTGAATTGTATATCTCCCTGCAGCATCAGCAGCAGCGGCGGCAGGGCACCCAGCCCCACGGAGTAACCCCCCTCCCTTTCCTAGGGGTGTGTCCTTCTGTCTCTCATCTTGATGGCAACGACGGCGTCAGTGCAATACCGCACGGTCACCGCCGGCTGGGACAGAAAACCTGGTGGGGTTTGGGTTAAAGCCCAGCTCAGCTCCTTCCCGCCGCCGCGATTTCCTCTGCAGCGCCTCCATCTCTGCCTGCGCGTCCAGCTATGGCGTCTCACAGCAATACGGCGGTAGGACAGCGGCATTTTGTGCCTACGCATACAATGCTTGTGGGCTGTTGACCGGGCGACACAAAAAGAGGAGCCGCTGGCGGTATGGACCAGCTCTTTCGCCGGTTCTGCACCACGAACCAGCACCCAGCATATATTACAAAAGAGGCCACAAACCGGCTTGGCCTGTTCCCATGTGCCCATGCCCTTGCTCCTCCGCTCCTCAATCACCCGGAGGTGTCCATGTGCGGTATAGCACCTAAGCAGCAACTGATGGAAAACGGTTGTTCGTTGATAAAGCGTGCGTACCTGCCGTACCTCCGTACATGTAGGTCCTGTCAGATGATACCAAGAAGGCAATTTACGACAAGTACGGCGAGGCAGGGCTCAGGGGCGGTATGGGCGGCATGGGTGGCGGACCGGGAGTGGAGTTCACCAACCCCTTCGACCTGTTCGAGTCGTTCTTCGGCATGGGGGGAATGGGAGGAATGGGCGGCATGGGCGGCTTCAGCAGAGGCCCGGCCGGCCGGAACAGGGCCCAGCCCGGCGAGGATGACAGGTGCGTGTGTGCGTATGTACGACATGTGCGTTTACATACGGCTGCTCGTCCATAAAGGCTAGAGCAGGCTCGGATGGCGACTATGTGTGGAAGGCTAGGCTTCATTTCCATGGCCTGTCTGCGTTGCTCTGTGTGCGTTCTAGTGTGCGTATGTGTGTGTGTGTTGTGGGAGGAGGGAGAGGTGAAGAAGTGCTGGGCCCGAGTGCTGTGCCATGGTGGTGGTCAGCGGTTGTGGACTAAGCGACAGAGACGTTCATGTCGCCGCTAGGCCCCACCCCGGCTTGGGCATGCGGCCCAATCCGTCCCCAACCCCACCCACCCAACCCGCAGCAGTTGGGCTCCTTCGGGTTGCTGCCCTGCTCTCCACACCTCGCCTCCTTCCTGCCGCCGTTGTGCTGTGTCGTGCTGTGCTGCGTTACCGCCCTCGTTGAGCCCGCCGCGTTCATCTCCACCAGATATGGCACCCGTGTTTTTCACCTGGCGAGCTGAGGGCCCTTCCTCTTTCCATTCTCGAGTGCCTGCTTCTGTGCTCATAGCTGTGAATTAATGAGAATCGCACGCACACACATACATATATACATACATACATCCCCCTCTTCGTTGTGCACTTCCGCCCTGTGCAGCCCCTACCTAAACCCCCAGTTGTATAGACCTTGCTCCGGCCCCCCCTCATTTCCTTCACCCATTGCCCCCTCCCCCTCCCTATTTCCCCCTCTCGGCCTGCAGGGTGGATCTTCAGCTTGACTTCCTGGAGGCGGTGTTCGGCTGCGCGCGGGAGCTCGATGTGGACCGGCTAACTGGCTGCGAGGTGGGTGCGGAGTTGGTGATGATGCAGGGGGGGAAAGGCAATGGGGGGCAGTTGGGCGGGAGGGGAGGAATTATTGTATGTGAAAAAGGGTTGGGGTTGGGCCCCCGCAGTAGGGAAACACAACGACCGTGATAGTGGGTAATCCAGGGGAAGGTGGTGTATGTGTGAGCGTGTGGATGTGATTGCCCTGTTCACTACCTGTCTTTGGGACCACCTGAGGACCGGAATCGCCGTTTGGTCGCCTTCATAAACTTTGTGTGCTCTTCGTTTATGTTCCGGGTGTGCGGATTGATTTGGGCCTTAGGGCCCAGCGGGTCTTCCTCCGGTAGAGGCTTTTTCTCTTCCACTTCAGGAGGAAAAAAGGCCGTGTTGGCAGGCTAGGGTATCTGGAGGGCGGACCCTTCCTGGAGGGGTAACGTGTGTGGGGAGGCGTGGTATTACCCTTTCAGTTGATCGGACTCGTTTAGCTCTTGGGGGATGGGGGGTGATCGGGTGGGCGGGTTGACGAGAACGGAGGTGCGGGGTTTCATTGTTTTCATTGTTGTGATGAATGCAACATGTGCTGGCGGGTTTGATGGGGTGGTGGGCTGTGAGGCGTCCTTCTCGCGGCTCTAGACGGGCGGGCGGGCGGGCGCCATGGGGGAGGTAGGGCAAGAGGGGGCTCTTCTATCTCCTCTTACCAACCAACTAACCAACCATCCGATGACGGTTTTGTGGACCTCCCTCCCTCTTCCTCAACCCGCGCAGGAATGTGATACGACGGGGGTGCGCAAGGGCACCAGCCCCAGCACCTGCCCCACATGCCAGGGCTCAGGCCAGGTCGTACAAGCCGTACGTACGCCTCTGGGCACCTTCCAGCAGGTGTCCCTCTGCTCGCGCTGCGAGGGCACTGGCCAGATCTTCACGCCGTGTTCCAAGTGCCAGGGCGACGGCCGCGTGCGGGAGACGAAGCGCATCTCCCTCAAGGTGCCGCCGGGCGTGGACGCGGGCAGTCGGCTGCGTGTGCGTGGTGAGGGCAACAGCGGGCGGCGCGGCGGCGAGCCGGGAGACCTGTACGTCAACATCACCATCAAGGACCATCCGGAGCTGCGGCGCGACGGCATGACAATCCATTCCGATGTGGAGATCAGTTACGTGGATGCAATCCTGGGGACGCAGGTAAAGATGAGGGAAGAGAGGGGGTTCAGCGGCTTCCTGCTCCCTGCATGGATGCGTGTGCGTATGGGTATGTATGTGCGTGCAGGGGGGCCTGCATGTGCGCGCATTTGCGTGTGTGGGGATGTGTGGTGGTGGTCGGTTGGGGGGAAGTGGTTAGGAAGGACAGGTTTGCAATCCTCGCATGTCCTTTTACGGGTAGGAGAAGAGGGGAAAGAGGGAAGAAAGCCTTCTTGCGTATGAAAGATGACGAAAACGAGGCACTTCAGAGGCTGAGGTGTGAGGTGGGTGGGTTGAAAAAAGGGACACCTCTTTTGCTACTGCTATTGCTAAATCACCTATCGCTGACCTCTCATCCTGCCTTTTCCTCCCTACCGTCGATTTTGCGCTCACCCGAAGGTCAAGGTGACGACCGTAGACGGGCCAGTGGAGCTCAAGATCCCCGCCGGTACGCAGCCCGGTACCACCCTGCTCATGGCGCGGCGCGGCGTACCCAAGCTGGGCGCCCCCTCTGTCCGCGGGGACCACATGGTCCATGTGCGGGTGCGCATCCCCAAGACGGTCACCGCGGAGGAGCGCAAGCTGGTGGAGGAGCTCAAGGAGCTGCAGAGCAAGACGAAAGTGGGGCCCTTCAGGTTTTGAAAGTCCTCCCACCAGCCACGTGATCAGGTTAAGGGGGAGGGCAGGGGACGCGGTCAGGTTGTCTGTCTCTCCCTCTCTCTCTCCCTCTCTCTCTCCCCCCGCCTTGGGGGTTTTCTTTCTGTAAGCGAGGCGGTGCTATCACCCTGTTTCGGAAGCGACTCTGCGTCGCGGGGAGATGGGTGGGTGGGAGGGAGGGAGAGGGGGAGATGGAAGTCTCGGGGGACGAGGGTTTGACATCATCTGGAGGCTAGTCTGGGCAGAGCTGGGGGGAGGGAGGAGGAAGGTGCAACGGAGGTAGGAGGTAGGAGAGCGGCTGGCTGGCTGAGTGGCTCAGCTGGGCGGGCATTGCGAGAATATATCCGATCCGGGTGCGGCAACGGGGCTGCGCTGCCGCCTGCGGGACCCGTGGAGACAAGCACTGAGCGCTGGTGCTAAGATACGTCTCTTCGTTCATGGGATGCTTTCTAGGGACTGCGGTGCGGCGCGGGTGCGTCGGGCGCGGTATGAGATGGGTTTTTTCCAGGAGAAATGGCGGGTGTGCCAGCCCGGGTGCGGGGTTGTGGCAGAGGTTGTGGACATCGGTCCTGATGGGAAGGAAGTGCAGTCCTCGGTGGCTGCTGTTACTGCTGTTCGTGCCCCGGTAGTGCGGCTGTTGGGGGGCGGCTAGGGTCCGTGTTCGCTGTGTCGCGCAGCTGTGTGTTTTTCTGTTTCTTGAGGGGTATTGAGTGAAGTGCAGCCCGCCGCAGACGAGGTTTGGGGTTAGTGAGAGACGAGTTGCGTGGAGTGAGTGGAGAGTAGAGGGAGGGGGAAGGGGAGGGAGGGGTACCGACACTGAACGGCAAGGGAGAGCTGCGGTGGAGTGGCGTTGTGCCGTCATCGCATTCGCGCCGGCAGCTCTGCAGGGAGGGTGGTCGCAGCAGCATCGCGCGAAGCCATCAGAGCAGCTGGAAATTGTGAAGAGGAGGAGGACGAGGAGGTTTACATGTTTGCGCTTTTGGCCGCTAGCGAATTGTTGCCGGGCAAGCAGGCCTGGTTTGAACGAATCCTTCCGTCATGGTTCCTGGAATGGCTATGTTTATGGTTGACGAAACTGTCAAGCGTGTTTGTGTGTTGATGTGTCTTCGTCGTTCAACTTTGAGCACCTCCCGGACGGTTCTGTGAAGTGGCTGTTTGTGGTGAACGCGAGTGCTCTCGGCGGCGACGGTGGCGTTAGTCGCGGCAAACGTGTTGGTGATGAAGGGTTTGGCGGGTGAATTCGCGAAGCTGTCCCCAGGCTGAGGGGGCGTAGCAGGAGCAGGCGCGACGAGTGCACGCGAGGGCAAGCAACGGCCGCGCAGTCTGTTTTCTTGGGACTTGTGCGGCATTCCTTATGTTTTGGCGCGTTGTCGCGCTTGGCGGCGACGTGGCGTATCGCGCTTGCCTGCGGTGTCGCGGTAAATGGAATGTAATGCTTTCAGGATGCCTCATTTCAGTCAACAGGAAGATATTATTTTCCTTGACTTCAAAGAAGCGTACTAGCACAGGGAGGGAAACGAAAGACGGTCTCTTTTGGGCCTGCGTTTTTCGTAGTTTTGATTGTAACAGGATGTAACCGCACTTTTGAGTCACGATTGTGAGTTACGGGCAGCAACCTGCCAACACATCGTTACGAAGCGTACCGACGCAGAAGGAATCCTGAACCGGGTTTCTTGTTTGTTTACCTATTTAATTAGCCGTGCTTACCAGGGTTTGGGTTGATTCATGCGGTACCGAGGTAATCGAGACAAGTGCTGTTTCCGACGTCCTGAACAAAGTACAACTCTTTTTGGATGCAATAAAAGTAAGGATGCAGTTAGGTAACCCATGTTGCTATTCCTGCCCTGGTTGCCTGCCTTCGACTTTTTACACCGGCCACTGCCCCCGTTTCATTTGTTAATCGGTGAGCAGAGCACTTGTCCATGCCATTGACACATGTCACACGTGCATTTTGCACGTGTGATTCCTTTCAGAAGCTTGCGGGGTGGTAGCGCCTGACAGCGGCCCACCTCTATAGCATGTGGGATCAGCGATGTGGATTGTTGTGAAAAAACGTCTTTGGTCAATTTCCCGCTGTAACTGCAAAGAAAACCAACTTCCTTGTTGACCTTTTTCGCAGTGTACAGCTACCGCTTAAAAAGCTTCATCGTACTTGCAGTTCGGATCGATATCGCGACAAGGTGGCACGCAGTATAATGGATGTCCGTGGGCACCCAGCACCTGCATTGCTGATTACGCTGAGTTCTTGCATCTGGGTATAAAAGCAAAAGCTGCGGATCGGCACATTGACTACCCTCACAGCAAACGCTTTGTATTTTAGGACAACACAACGTAAACATTATAGTATGTTTAACACACACGTGCAGTGTTACGTTATGTTGTGTTACAAGTTCGCGAGAGCTCATAAGGCCCAGGCGAGCCAGGAGGTTCATGGACCGCGAGTTCTAGGGTAAGTCAAAAAACAGAAAGGAATAAAAAGGCGATTCCATCCAATGGGTATGCCGGCACATCTTAACCCCTGGTTTACGGTTGTCCGACACAAATTCCCGGGGTGTAGTAATAAGACGTGGGTTATGCCAGCCATCATCAAGTCGCTCCTTCAACGTTTCCATGATAGATCTTACATTTCATCGGGTTCGACAAAATGAAATTAACCTTCCCCTCCATCCAGGTCCGGGTGCAGCTCCGGGAAGTGCCCTAAGCACCTTAGTATCATGGCAACCCAGTTGCTGGCAGTATAATCAGAACGCACTGCAGGATGTATATCCTCACGCAAAATATTGTGAACACGTGCAGTGGAAAGTGGAAAACGGCCATCAGGTGGCCTGTCATACTGCACGTGGAGGTTGGACGTAACACCGAAGGTACAGCGTCCATGAGGAGTGTAATGTAAGACCGAGCAGTGTTTTACAAAAACTCATGAAGTTCCCGAACTGAAACAGACAGGGGCTTCGCGCAGGTTAAGGGCCTGACTCGCCTCAGCATATACTTGTACGGCATGCACGAGGCCGGTTTCACATGGACACATTGACAATGCTGAGTTTCTCTGCAAAGGCAGTTAGATTAGTTTTCTACGGTTTAATCCGTTCTCGTTTACTCGTTCGCAAACTGTGAACTGTCTGCCCGAAGGCGAACGTCGCCTGGCTTAGGAATAACTCATTAGACTTTGCGTCCATAATACCAATTTTGAAGTAGCCCCTCTCAAAAGGGGATTGACGCAGCTTGCAACGTGCACCAGCGGACCAAGAAACGTGGTCGGCTGCTTTGGCCTGCAGCTGGAACGATAGCGCCTTTGTCCACGACTGAAATAATATCTCGGAATAGGCATACCTTGCGCCGCAGGCGAAGATGTCGCAACCGCAAGACCAGGACTCTTTACATGGCGAAAACGCCGCTCGCCGTCAGGTAGACGCGCCTGCGCACTTTCCTGCCATAGTTCCCTTACTATCTCTATTCTTCCTTTCCTGCTGAACCAGCTGTTATAGCTGTATCTTGTTTCCATGACAGGCGATTACTGAGCTTCTGTTCTTCGCAAGCGTTGGTGATCTATACCGCTGCAAGAAGATCATTTATGCGTGGGGATTGAATGTAAGACCTGTCTCCCGGCACCGTGGTGGCAACAGACGCCGCCGCACAAGGCACACCCCTTTCCCTTTGACCCTACGAGTGTTGTCTGTGTACGCAGATTAAGGACGCTTCGTGTTGTGACTATGATCGTCGCACTCCTTTGTAAGTTGGTTACTTTCGTCAGGAGGATACCGACGCTATGAGGCCTTTCCGACAGCAGTCCTGGGTCAGGGACACGTGCTTAGTTCTTGCTTAATGCCTTGTAGGCACTTGGCGGCAGCAGAAGGTGCGTTTTCGGTGGTTCTATGGCTCCTCGACCACGGCGCAGAGGTCAACCCAATTGACCGCTTCAAGCGAACACCTCTTGAGGTGCGTAAAGATAATATATGCTCTTCGACGGATAAACTCTAGGGAGCAGTAATGAACACGTCGCCTTGCGCCTCGCGGCAACCGCTTCCGGAACAAACAGGGTTTTCCCTGTTTGTCCTGTTGGCCCGTTCTGCTGGCCCCAAAGGAGCACCGCCCGGGTGGAGCCACCAGCACAACTGCAACTTCCGAAATAGCGCTGGTAACATCCCCGGCTCAGCCGCGCGACATCGCATGCACTCTCTTCTGTTCTCCCGTCCTGCCGCGTCCCCAAATCCCGACCGCCCCCATATCTTCACATGGCCCCGCCCTCCCCTTTGCATCTCCATATGCGACGAACCCAAACTTGCATTGCATCGTCTCCGCCCTCTCTCCTGGCCAACCTCCCCAACTCCTTCCCTTGGCTTTGGACATCGACAGTAGTTTTTCCCCTGCTTTTGCTTATCTCTCCTGCCTTCCTCCCCCTGCCCTCCTCCTCGCCCTCAGGACGCGGTCCGCGGCGACCACGGCGACCTGGCCACCCTTCTCATCCAGCGCGGAGGCCGAGTGCTGGACAAGGAGGGCAACCTGGTGGAGCTGGCGGACTCGCCACTGGCCGGCAATGTGCGCATCTTCACCGACTACGACCCCGAGTGGGAAATTGACCCAATCAACATTAAGCTTAGCGAGAAGATCGGTAGGGGGGGTCCCCTCGGCCGCGGCTGGGCAGGGCGGGCGCCGGAATGGGTCTGAATGGGAGGGCAGGGGTTGTCGCGGAAGCTTTTGCCATTTGACATCTGGATCTGCATGAACGCTTGGGTTTGTTGTTATTGTACCGTGGGGCTAGAGGGCCGCCATCCGGCGATCGGGGGCTGAGGTGGGGGGGGGCATGGTCTTGATAGGTAGCGGTTGCGGTCCGCCCTGGCATGCCGCCGGCCCCGGGGAGGGGGGAAGCAGCAGAGCCAACTTCGGGAAGGTACGCTGTTGGCTTTGCGGCAAGGATGTGGCAAGCGGCCAGACCTGCAGAATGGCGCCAGGAAAGGCATGCAGGGGATGCGGAGTTGCTGGAGCAGCAAGCGGGGTGTTGGCCTCGGCGGGTTGGCGGTTCCTATGGAAGCCACGCGCATGCTATAAGTGTATCGCCACCACACGCGATACCGCATACCGCACCTCCTTGCGCCCTGGTATGGCAGCTCTTGAGGCTTTGGAAATCACTGGGAACCGCGGCGGAAGCGGACTGGCAACAGCAGAGCGCAAGCGCGGCTCCGCATAATGCGGCGCCTAAGCTCCGGAGCCCGGATAAGGGGATGAGGCCCGCCGGCTGTGTCACCGCAGCAGCGACAGAGCCCTGTAGCCACACAGTTATCAGCAGTCCAAGGGCGCCTGTTCTGGCCGGCGCCAACTGCAACCGCAGCTGTTACGGACGCACGTCGCCATCTGCGTGGGCCCGCACGTATGCGCCGCGGCCAGGACCAGATTTTGCACCGCCATGCGCTGGGTGATGCCGGGTGGGAAGCTCTGCAGCCGTGTAGGTTCCGCCGGCACCACCGGGACGATCAAAAGCCAGCACCAGCAGTAGCAGCAGCGCAGCGGCAGCAGCAGCAGGGCGCTAGCTTCAACATTAAAGTTTATCCTAACCACCAGCGTCATGGATTCTTGTGGCTTCAATGCCGTTGGGCCCGACCCCCGACTCCGGAAGCACGCTTGCATGCACCGTGCTGTTGACACGTTGGGATATGTGGTAACGGACTGTCTGTTGCCACCCCCACCGGTCTGGCACCGTTCCCGCAGGCGAGGGCGAGTTCGGTGTGGTTTACAAGGCGAATTGGAACGGTGAGAGCGGAGGGGAGGGGTTTGGGGACGAAGGGAGCGAGAGGCGCAGCAACTGGATGGGCGAAATCTGCAAGGGAAGGACAATGGAAGTCAAACAAGTTACTGGTATCGAAAAATGCCCGATGCGCAGAAGAATATAGAACCAAAAAGCAAGCTTTTCTTGGGATCGTACTTGGATGCAGCTGTGATACCATCGTTCCGCATATAGTCGGCCTTGGCAGCCGGCCACTTCTCCGCCATGCGCGGCGAGTCTCCGTTCCAGCTTGGGATCTCCTCCTCCTCACTAGACGTGGTCTCCCCACGTACCTGGCCCCTCCCTGCTCCCTCCGTCCTTGCGTGCCAAGTCCGACCCCGCCCCCGCTGTCCCCAAGGCCCGTACACCTCAAGTAACACTTCCTCAAACCACTACATGTTTCTTTCCACCCACACCCCTCAACCGCCGTATGGACAATATGGCCTTATCCCTCCTAACCTCGACCCCATTGCCGCATACCGCTGCTGGTTTTGCTGAATCCGCCGGGTGGTGCTTACATATCCGCGCTTTTGCTTTCCCTTACAGGCACGCTGGTGGCGGTCAAGGTGCTCAAGGAGACGGGGGCTGTGGCGCTGGGTGACTTCCGCACGGAGCTCAACGTGCTGCAGAAGGTGCACCACCCGCACACGGTAAGGGCTGCAGCGGGAGTAGGAGTGGGGGATGGAGGTGGAGTGGGTGAGCAGGGCACATGGGTGTTGGGCCGCTGCCTGCGCCGCAGTAGCCGCGACCGGCGAGGGCCGCAGGGAGATGGAGGGGGAAGGCAATGACTGCGGGTGTTGGTGCTGTGAGCAGCGGACTACTTAGCATCACTTCCCCCTTGCTGTAGTATCCTGGGTATCACGGGATTGACATCCGCCGATCGGTTCTTTTCCTGCGATAAGACGTGTGTTACAACACTTGCGTGGATTCTCACACGTTGCCTGCAAGCCCCGCCCTGCATTCTCCTGAATCGCCGCTCCCTCACCCTCCTGCCCACAGGTGCAGTTCCTGGGTGCGGTGACCAAGCAGACCCCTTTCATGATCGTGACGGAGTACATGGTGGGGGGCTCCCTGGCGGACTTGTTCAAGGGGCAGCGCTTCCCCAGCATGTGGCGCTCCGTGCAGCTGGCATTGGATATGGCCCGGGGGCTGGCCTACCTGCACAACCGCAGCCCACAAGTACGTACGAGTGTTTGTGCGTGTGTGGGATGGTGGGGAATGGGACTCTGCTATGGGTAGGGTAGATGGGAGATGTTTTGGCAAGGCAGCTCTGAGGAATGAAATCGGAATCGACATGTGTTGGAACTTCAGTGTGGGTTGGGCCCGCATTGTGGTTCACTGGGCGCGTTGTGGTTCACTACCCTAATTGACCCGTGGGTCTTCAGGCCGTCATTCACCGAGATCTGAAGCCGGCCAACCTCATGATTGGCGGGCCCAAGGTCTTCTCTTCTCACCACCGCCAGATATGCCTGGAGGAGATGGGGGTGAGTGTGCTGGGAAGCCACCGATCCAGTCCTGCCGGGTTGTTCCACACTGCTGTTCCGATCGGGCGCCGTGCTCTACACTGCTCCCTGCCCACCGTCGTGCTGTCGTGAGGACGTAGTCACAGTGCGCCAGGATCTTGATATCGCAATTGCCATTGGCTCTCTGGCCTTCCCCCCTGTCTGTTATCCGCCCTACACTTAAGTCATATTGCATTTTAAACAGAGGAAACGTAGCTTGCAATGCCCCTTTCCTTCTTTCATTATTGTTTCCCCACTCACTCTATCACAGGTACTCAAGATTGCGGACTTCGGTCTATCCAAGTCGCTCAAGCTGACCAAGCCCAAGCGCCACCGCGGCTCCCTGGACACAACCCCGGACAACTCGGTGCTCAACGGCCGCAACAACCCGAGCAGCAACAACGGCGGAGGCGGAGGCATGCTGGGGACGCCCAAGGGCTCCGTGCACGAGGGCGACAAGGCCGCCACCAGCTACAAGCTAACAGGTAGGCGGGAGGTCGCAGGTTGCGGAGACCGTGTGAGCGTGTCGAGGCAGGGGGTGGGGCGGGGGGCCTTGCCTTGACGGATGATGTGCATGTCTGGGAATGTGCGTGTGGTGGGCAGACGTGAGGTGAGGCCGACGTTGAGGCTGTGAGATGGATTGGCTGATGTCTGGAGCAGCCCTCTACAGGTGTGAGGCACGCACGCACAGCACAAGTGCCTCACAAGAGGCAAGACCATCACGAAGAGATTGCACCCTGGAGTGAGGAGTGGGGGTCCCAGTGGGGGCGGGAGACTGAGAGCAAGGCAGTGCTCTGGCTGGTAATGGCCATCAGAGTGTTTCCATCGTCTCTGCTCCCTGCCCCCCCTGACCTTGGCGCTGCCGTTTGGTTTTGCTTCTGCTGCAGGCGAGACCGGCTCCTACCGCTATATGGCGCCGGAGGTGCGAGGGCAGGAGAGAGGGAGAGGAGCGGGAAAAGGGGCCCCGGGGAAGTCACAGCCTGGAACACGGTGGCAACAGCGGAGGAAGAAACGGGAGATTAGAAGAGGCTGTCCTTGTCGCCAGGGGTCTGCACTGCCGAGCTCTGTTTTATCTCGACGGTCCTGCCCTCGCACTCGAGAACAGTTGTCCTAAGTTTTGGTCTTACTGCCCTAAACTCGGCCGCAGTCTTCTTGCTTCCCTGTTTGCTTGCTTGCTTGCCTGCTGGCCAATCTACTCCGATCTCCTCTCCAGCACGCGTCACCCACCCTGCCGGGTTTTCACACCCTCTGACTGCCGACATGCGTACAGGTGTTTCGACACGAACCGTACAACAACAAAGTGGACGTTTACAGGTGAGCGGGTATCGTGAGCGTGTGTGAGCGTGTGTGTGGCTGTGCTTCTACGTGGTTTGTATGTCCATGTACTACGTGGCATGTGCATGAGCACGGAGCGTTTCCATTCATGGGGATGTATTGCACCACATAGTCTCTTCCGCACACTTACCTACTTTCCCTACTTCACCAGCTTCTCACCCCTTGCTCTACCCGAGGCAATCCGCCTCTCGCCTCCCATACTTTTCGTTTAACCTGCATCCCGCCCATTCCTCTCTGCCTTCCCACTTCGCAACAAGGGCCGACCTAACCCCCGACTGAGAGCCCCGTCCATACACCGGCTCTTCACTCGGCCTTTACATGTCCTCGGCTCCTTGCGTCTTTTCCTTCCGTCTCCCCTCTTCCGCAGCTTCGCTATGATCTGCTTCCAGTTGTTCGAGGGACTGCCCCCCTACTGGAACATGGACCCCATCGAGGCGGCCCGCGCGGCGGCACTGAAGGGCCTCAGGCCGCAGTGGGGCCCCACCAACCGGCGCGACCAGGTAGGTAGCGGGTTCCTTTTCGCATGCTGCGGAAAGGGCTGGGAAGAGAGCGCCACCATTGCCGCTTCTGATCTTACTGCTGCTACGGCTGGTGCTGCTGCTACGGCTGTAATCTCGTTCTCATTCTCCCGCACTCCCCACACCACCATGCGCGCTACTCCACCGTGCAATTCGCGGCAGGTGGTTCCCCCTCGGCTGAAGCGCATGGTCGAGACGTGCTGGTCGGCCGACTACGAGGCGCGACCGGAGTTTGTCGAGGTCATTGAGATGCTGGAGGAGGCGGCCAAGGAGCTAAAACCGGACCTCATGGAGAACCGCCGACCAGCCAGCGCTGCCAAACGGGACGCCCAGCCGCAGCAGCTTGTGGCCTCTGCGGACCACCATTGCTGCAACCTTATGTGAGAGAAGAGCGGGGCGCACGGCGGCTGTAGCTTGGAGGTGCTGGCACAGCTGCTTGCAGTATCACGAAGGAGAGACTGGAAGATACAGCTGGTTGTGGGCGGGTGGGGAGGTGATGTGTTAGCAGGCTAAGGACAGCGAGGCAGTGCGTCTTAGGGTCTAGATTCTGCTGCCCGTCCTGCCCCTGCCCGTCTCCGAACGTTTTGTTTCTTGCTGTTGGATATCTCTTGTAGGGCTCGTCCACACGTCTGGTTGTCCACTTAATTGTCTGTCGGTCGACCTTGTCTGTCTGTTGCCTATCTTTGGCTGCATGCGAGTGCAAGCCTATATCGGTGCCAATGCATACGTGTGTTTGTGCGCGCGTGCGTGCGTGCTTTGCGTACCTACCTACCCGTGTCGGCTGTGATGGTGTTGGTGTTGTGGAGGGAGGACAAGACCTTACGCTTTGCCACGTCTGATTGTGCTGCGCAACATTTTCCTCTTTTCCTGCACGAGAAACTCACGTTGTGGTTGGGACACACGACCTAGGAGAAAACTCATCATTATCGCATACAATACATTCATGGCGCTGTGAGCTCGAGTACGCCGGGCTGGGACCTGCCACAGTGACCCCGCCTGCCTGTGGCCGCAGCTGTATGCGCGTGCCAATGGGAGGCGTGACTGCGTGGCGTGACGCGGACAGCCGCGCACGCGGCTCGGCTTGTGGCTCAATACTCATACTTACTTATCTTTGAGAGAAAGAGTGATGGTGAGAGGGGACGAGGATGGTTGCCAGCGCTGTCCGTCATACACCTGCCATCCTTCCTGGTGTTTTGGTGCCGGTGAAGGTTTGGGTTCTGCCGGGCGGTGCAAGCAGCAGTGAGAGGCTGCACTTCCCGTGAAAGGCGTTTGCTTCAGGGCGCTACACCGGAGGTGGCGTCAGCAGTGGTAATGGTGATGATGGCTGTGTGGGCGCTGGGCGCGTCCCATCGCACCCTCTGTGCCGTTCTCGTTGCGCCGAAATTGTGGGAGGCTTTATTAGGGTTTTTCCGGTTGCTGGTTGATTAAAGAGTGGGGCTGAAGAGTTGGAGGGGGTCACCTAGAAGGCCCGCGTGCACCGCACCGCACCGTGGCCGGGGGCACTAAGGGGATCAAGGGGTTTCCCTTGGGGCCGTTTTGGGAGGACGGAAGCCTTGGGTACTTGTTGTAGTACTACACTTATCCTGTTATGCTGGGGGCGGCTAAGAATATTAGTTTAGTTTTTAATCGCTTCCTTCCCAGTTGGGGTTGCGGGGTTGGGGGCTTTCGTTGTTTGGCCGGTTGGTTGGTTCAGGTCGGCAACGTTGGGAGGCCCCGGCGGGGTTGGGTGGCCGTTCTGGATCATTGGCGAAATGCATGCAGCTAGAGGTGCGGTGCATGCGCATATGCTTGTGATGTCGTGGTGGCTGTGATGCCCCACGCGTCGATAAGCATCACCCCATTCATGTGCGGTCTCTCGTGTCCGCAACTAGCTCATGGCCGTCACCGCACTGGTCCAACACGCCGGGGCCGTTGCTGTTTAGTGTACTTCTGCCTTCCTCCCCGCCTTGCCGTCGAGTTTATCGCAGCCGCTGCACACCCGCCTCTGGGTTATTTTATTTCACGGTGCCGCTCCCCAGGACCCCGTCCGCGCCGGTGCTCAGGTCCGCTTGCGTTCTCATCCTTTTGGGTGCGCTGCTGGCCACCTACCCGACCTCGCCGAGTGATGAAAGAAGAAGCCGGCGAAAGGGCGGGGCAGCACCCTGTGTGCATTCATGGCACACATGATGGCTTGCTGTACAACATGAGAGAGGGGGATCTCTAGCCCCTCTGCTCGCCTCCCGTGTTGTACAGCCATGCGCACGGCGTTTGGCCTTGGCGGGAAAGCGCATGCGTATGTATACATACCATACAGGCATAAACACAACGGCGAACTTTATATATAGCGTTGTTGTCTGGACACTACTCGACTGTTGACTTTGAAGACCAGATGTTGTTGGACCAGATTCGCAGCCAGCGTGTTGGCGTCCCCCCTTTTTGACCCTTTTAACTGTCTTGATAACTGTTGTAGGGATGGGGAGGAAGATGAGGTTGAGACGTCTGCATCTGTGAACCAATTTATCGACCCGATAGCTCTCTGATGGAGGTGTATATGTTTGTGCCCATTTTTCCTTGAGGTGCAAATCGAACGTGCAATGTGCATGAAAACGGTACTTCGCATGTAAATTTAGGGTAAGCTAGGGTTCGGGCTGTCGTTTTACGTTCTCTCCTGCCTACGCGTTCAGCGGTCGATGGCGTTGTTAGCCATCCACATAAGAGTTCTGGTCACAGGAGGAGGGGGGACCGGGGAACACTTACAGAGGAACACCAGCTCTGGACTTGTGGCATGCGTTGGAACGACCAGTACAGCTAGCGGTCTGCTCGTCCTTGACAGCAGGTGCATCAGTTACAGGCGCGGCAAGGGGTTTACTTGCCACAAAGAAGCAAACACACTGTTAAAAGGTAAGTTCCGTTGCCGCCCACAAACGGACAGCACACAACATGTTGACCTGACTGTGCGGCACTTGGCGCTTGGCCACCTCGCCTTCACATGCTCCTAGAGCGAAGAGGCACCTCCCGACCTCTGCACAAGACATACTTTTTCCTTAGACTTTCTTACCTCTCCGTCTACTGCTGGCATCGTTACCACCGACGCCAGCTCGAACTAAGGCTGTGTGAATCACATTACAGCCTACTGCCCTCTGCAGCACGCAAGCGCACTTCCGAACACGCAGTACTAACAAACGCAGTTTAGCCACAAGGCACGCGTGATTCCACTGGGGATGGGAAATGTGAAGAAGATGGAGCTCTCCAGTGCACAACATCGATTTAGAAATCACGACGATCCGACATCCTAGGAAGCGAAGTTCAGCTCCCACGCCACATTCCAGCTCTAAGTTCTACCGTTTCCAGTCGGCCACTGCTCGTGGGGGCTCCCCACCGCCGCCGCGGCATAAGCGGAATTATCCTACGTTCTCTTCATTGTCGCTACAGCCCCTACAAGCTACAACAGCAGAGACACATACAGACGCTGCTTCTGCTACAACAGCGGCTACAACAGCGCTGACAGCGACGCCAGTGCCGTGCACCCAAAAACAACGTCAGCATGGCCACTGTAAAAACACCGACGGAAAATCAATACAGGTCAAAGCAGCGACCTCCAGCTCCACCTTTCTCACTACGTATGTTCCTTTGGTACAGCAAAGTACGACACAGCTCAGCACAAAAGCCAGGGACTCTTCTAACTACAATGACAGAAAGCGCAGCCTTACGCAGCACACCCGTGCGCGCCACTCCTCCCTTCGTCGTCTCTCCAGCTGCCTTATACATTCTAAGGTAACCTGTCGTACAGCAGCAAAATCCGGAGTTCCACAATACATTACACAACAAGCAGCAAAACTCGGTGCGAATGGTTGGATTGTTAACCAAGCACTGTCAGTGACGCACTGTATTGAACAAGTCCGGTTGGACTCAACTCCCGTGTGCGCGCCTCAACGAATATACACATGCTGTGAAGATGGCTTTAGCTAGAGGCGCGCGCGCACTTTTATCGTACAATGGCCAACCAAAAGCCCAGATATACAGTCCGCTGCGCCAACGGCGCTAATCCGGAGCACGCCCAATGCCTGCATCTCGCGGGTAAACCCACTTCGTCTCCCTAGGGGCCTTGTAACCCAAGACCCGCATTTCCCTCCTCCTCCCGGTCATCCACCTCCTTTACCACCATCCGCTGCTACAGGACAAAACACCTCGACCTACGGACCGTATTTGGGTCGTAGAAAAGCCTTCACACACACATAGCCGCGCAAGCAAAATCCCTTTCCATTACGTACATAATTTTGGAAAACTCAATGTTTAGCTTTCAAAATACGAAGGAAAGAATAGACCTTGGCGTCACTTGCTTCAACAGGCTCGAAATTCGCCGACTTGAATTCATCATGAACTATCTGCCTAAGTACGATTCCGATGCTTCCCTTTCTATAAAGATGGAGCTTGCACCCGCGATATGTGCAAGCACTCGCCACGAAGCACTCCGGGATGCTCGCAGGACCCAGCCAGTCCCATGCCCCACCTTCCGAGCATTCCAACACATGAGCCTCTGCGCTCCATAAAAGCCGCAGAAGCTTCGCATCCCAGCAGCTGTTGTCCGCCGCATCGCACTCACTACTAGATATGTCGCATCTCGTACACCCGTTTTTGGGTTCAAAAAAGATTCGTAAGTCAACCACCACCGACAGTCAACCACCATCGTCATCCAACCAGGCTTTCCGCACCCTCCTCGTCCTACCCGGGAACTCAGCAGCAGCTGCTGCCGCTGCTACTGCCGCTGCCACTGCCGCTGCCATTACCGCCGCCACTGGCCCCTCTGACGCCAGCACGTCTCGTCCCAACCGTCGTCTTGGCGGTTTTCACGTGCTGCCACCTCAGCACCGGTACGCAGCGGTCATCGAGGCGGGCGGAGCGTTCCAACATCATAACGGCTGCCAGCCAGTTTCCACGCTGAAGCTCCATAAGGCCCCAGGCCTGCGCATTCCACGGAACAAGGAATGATCGGCGTGTTTGCTGGTATGTATGTATGTATCTGGTAGGGGCAGGACGACGGCAAATCCCTGCCGTACGTACGGCGATGCCGGAGTTTCCGGAGAGATAACTCCCGCCCTCTCACGCGGCAAGGCAAAAAGCATGTCACGTGTGTACTTGTGTATGTACGGCACTATGCGCGAGGGGGTTTTAACCCCCCAGTAGTAGGGCCTAGCAGCAGAAGCGCAGTAAGGGGCACAGGATCCAGGACATCCGAGTCCGCGCCGGAGCTGCAGGGGCTATGGGAACTATAACACGGAGCGCACAACTGGCCACCTTCGCGGCAGGTGTGATGAGTCGCTATGCAGAGAGGTGCCCAGCAGCGATAATTCAAAAACGTAGGCGCTGGGCGAATGCTGGCTTAGGATATTTTGCATCTCCGGCAGCAGGAGACTTTGGCCTCTGCCCTGTTCCTACCTGAATGAGGCAGGATGATGATGGGTTCAACTCTAGGCCGCGCTGCAGCACAGCGCGGCAACGGTGCCAGCGCTCGGACTGGTTAAAGCGGTGGCAACGCTTCTCCATTTGTGCCCAGGACACCCAGGCCTTGCACAGACTCGGTTGCCGGTGGAGCAGGTGTTCGAAAGTGGACCTGCCGAGGAAGATAACCGATACAAACAAAACAAGCCCTAGATCAATGTTGAATGGATTGAATAGACGGAAAAAGGTCATTTCAGAAGCATTTGGTGTGAAACGTCATTCTGGACTAACAAACAATGCGCGAGGCCTGCGGTCAACGAGTCCTTGCCTGGCTTCTTCGTAGGCCTCAATACGGGCAAACTCCAAGGCCCGCTCATACATTTCATCGCCTTTGGACGGCTGCGCAACCTGGGGTGTCTCCGGCCTTAGGTCGCCTTTCGCACTCCGAATGCCGTGACATTTCACCCCGGAAGTCCTTGCCAGTAAGCAGGCACGCCGGCGGAGTGCTCCAGTAGGCCTTGAGTGAATACGTTGCTGTTTAAGGCACTGCATGGTCGCTGGTGGGGAGCTTCGCACACAGTTCGCTTCCGTAAGGCAGTCTGGTAGCGTGAGGTCGATGTGGAGGATTGCGCTGCCAGGTCCGCCTAAAAAAGCCCTGAAGTTATTCCTTCGTTTCGGGAATGTTACTGTTGCGTGTGTCTAGCCTTTTGACGTAATCCTGACACGCGCAAACGAATGGTACGGCGCGTGGAGGGCGCGTGGCCTAACAACAGTTACTATGCGTAATAGAAATGCCTCACAGACCTCATTATTATTATGAACGCGGTTGTAAGACTTACGATAGGCGTATGCGGGTACTCAAAGATACATACTGTAACGGAATATGACACCGACACGCAGCTAATGCACGCGTTTCTGTTACGAAGACTGAAGCTTAAATTGTTGTTATATATTCAAAGCTCTTCATTTCCATTACTGGCCTTAATTTGCCATTTCGTAGCACCCAGGCAACGGTGAAAACCAACAGTGCTCCGAGGCCATGCCAAGAAACTAGACATCGGAAATCATTTAATGTTTAGCGATATATTATCTCCTTCAAGCGATAGCTCACATAGCATTTGCAAGTCAAAATAATGCTACGGCCGTTCACAGTCGAAACAGGGCGTTTCCGCTGGCTGTTCTGGCTGTCCTCAACCTCCTTATGCCAGCATAGTTATAGCATGCAAATAATTGCATAAAAGATGAATCATTATAACCTCAGGTCCATCGACAGAAGTGAGCTTGAGCATGCGCCCAGCTAACGTAGAAGATTTGCAAGCTTTGTCCGATAGACAAATTCGTACCGATGGCTTATTGAAGGCAGCTCGTGGCGGTCCCATGATGCTAGCACTGACTGATAAAGTATGTCACTAAAGTTGTAATAAACGCCCGGTGCATCTTTTGCCGATGAGTGTTGACCATCGTCTGCTGCCGTGACATGGCACTTGCATTTGTTCGTTCGTTTGTTTTCCTCCCAACGCAACCAGGTCCATGAGGTAATATCTCGACCTTAATCCGTACAATGCGCCTATTTAACTGCAGACCCTCGCTGCGATCGGAGGACTGCGGTGGTGCTGCTCGCCGCAGTACCAAACGCCATGTTGGCAAAAGAGGCTGATGCCGTTGCGACTAGGAAGTGCATGCGGCAGCCAATGACCACGAAAAGGAGCTGGACGATGGAAATAGCTGCGTGCGCTACGGAGTTGCGCACCAAGCTGGGGAGCCCAGTTAGCATCGTCACTACGCAACAACTGCATTTGATCACGTCTGCGTGGGGCACCCACGCCTACTGAAACAGACGCAAATCCATCGTTGCTTTTATTTACATGCTGCCCCCTCTTTATGATTACTTAAATGTCTATGTACATGGACTGACACACAGCTAATCTGTACCTACGTGCCCACCCACCTACCAAAGCCGTGTTAGTATGGCAATCGTCAATTTTGCCCTAATTTATGCACGTTGGCGTACATAAAAGCGATGTACAACTGACCCAGCAAGGGGGCCTGCTTGAAACATTATATTCTTTAATTCCCTTACAGCACACTTACGTATGTATGCATGTATGTATGGGTTTTAGAGTTTAGGGTTTATGTATGTAGGTTTGGTAAACTTCCCTTTCCGAGCTTGCACGGCAGGTTGGTTAACCGGCTAGGCTGGGGGTTCAGATGGGGACATGCTCTTCACCACTAAGCTCGACGATGGCAAGATAAGGCCCTTGGGGCCGAATGGATTACAACTCAAGTACCGTACCGTGCTGTACGGCCTCTTTCAGCAGGGTAATTTTCCTCGCTCCGTACTCCCACTGGCCGCCTCCCACTCCCTCTCCCACCTCTGCTCTGCACACTGCTCTGCACTGCATGCCTACACGGCCAGATCGCCGCCACTCACAGCCCACAAAAAAGAATAGAAGCCCGACCAAGCGGAACCCATCTACCCCTACACAGCCAACAAACCCCCACCCACCCGACTGACTCCTGAGCTCATCCCCACCCCTCAACCCGGGCGGGGTATCCCCCCTCACCCCCCACCTTTCCTCAACAGCAGCCCCTGGCTATATGTGATCCCCCCACGAACCCACCCCACTCCCCCGCCATCTAGGTCACCCCCGCCGCCGCAAACCCTCCACAACCCCACGGCGGCAACGGGGGGATGGCCGTGGGCAGGAAGCACACAGTCCCCCTGCTCCTCCTCCTCCGCCGCCCCATGCTGCTGCTGCTGCTGCTGTTAGTGCTGTCAACCGCCGCTACTTGAGGGCACCGCCTATTACACCGCCTACCCTACACCCCCTACCCCCGCTACCCGCCTACCCCGCTACCCCCGGGCCTTTGCCTGCGCAAACGGAGGAAAAGGAGAGGGGAGGTGGCAGAGGGGATAATCGTCATCAGGTTACGAGAGGCAACTTCCCCCACCCTGTGGCTCCCCACAGCTACCTAGCCGGGTGGCGCAGCGCGATAGGGGCTCTCCATCTGCCCCTCCCCCTCCCCCACCAGGATGCACAACGAGGTTTACTAACACCCCACACACACACAGCCCTACATCACCCCACCAGGCTAGGGGCTAGGGACACACAAACACCTCGATTGCATGGGTGGGAAGGAATGGGGACATCGCACCGCAGGGGTCTACGTGGAGACCCAACCCCTAACCTCCTCCCCCCCCTTTCCCCCCCAAAATC